TGTGGGGTTATATTTAGTTACTAGTGAAAGTGGAATTTCCCTTTTTCTAAAATTATCTGACAGAGTACTGCATCGTTTAATCTTGTATTTCACATCTTTTATGTTTTTTGCAGTTTCCAACTTATCATAGCCTCTATCTATAAGTTTATTCTCCAAGGTCAGAAGATGTTTGTTAAGATCAGTTTCGTTGCTATTGTTTCTTATGTGACGAATTGTTTCACCTGTTATAATACTTTTAAAAGTATGTTTAGGATGTGCACTTGTAATTCAATTCAAACTCAATTCCAGCTTTCCCTTTGTGATATGAAACCTTGTAGTACAATGTCAGAGAGATCCATACACTAACACACAAGTTATGTCTGGAAGTTACAAAAATGCTTATTTTTTGCCCCTTTTTGACCCCCAATTCCTTTACTGTTGGTACCATAACCCCCAAAATTAATCCCAACCTTTAATTCACTTAAACTAAAGTTAGAGTGCGAAAACCAATGTGTCTTCGGACGACGCCGGACGACGCCAGACGACGACGACGACGACGCCGGACGACGCCAGACGACGACGACGACGACGACGACGACGCCAACGTCATACCAATATACGACCACAAAAATTTTTTTGCGGTCGTATAAAAAGATGTGGTATGATTGCCAATGAGGCAACTCTCGACAACAGACCAAATGACACAAAAATTAAGAACTGTAGGTCACCGTTTAGTATTCAACAATGAGCAAAGCCCATAGGCAGTCGGCTATAAAAGGCCCCAAGGTGAGAAATGTTAAACCATTCAATATATCTTGTACCAATTTAACTGAATAATGTTAAAAAAAAGAAAGTTCACTTATAGCAAAAACACAAGTCAAATGTCTCTACTTATGTATAAGGCTGTTTTTGACTGTGATCCATATCTATCCTGCCCTGTTGCATCTTGCAACAACACAAAGCTGACAACAATCAAAGATGATGATGGTATCTTCAAGATGACTTGCAAGGCCTGTAATGGGAAGTTTAGAGCCAGCAATTGCACTAGATCTTTACGGGTTATAGTACTGTTAAAAATTGAAGATGGCACTAAGAAAGTTGTAATGTTTGCCCCCCAGGTGAAGAAACATTTAGAGAGTAGGGGATTAGATTCTAGTATTCTATTCGACAGAATTGAGATGATGAAAAAATTAATGACAATCATTCCTATAGATATAAAATACAGACTTGTTAACAGTACCATCAGAGATGTTGTATGTAAAATGACTGCACTGTAACTTACTTAGTTGGAAGCACTTAAAACAAATAAAAATATATATGTTATTCCAGTAATATTCTGAAAAAATTAGTCTAGTATATGTAGATAGGCATAAAATCCATATTTTTTATGGAAACAACTTCTAGTTTTACATATGCCTTACCAGTTATATGTCAATTTCTATGTTTGGTTGAAATATATAGGTTATAAATTGATTATGTTGCATTCTCATTACATTTTTTTGTATTTCTGTTCTAAAGAGAATTCTGATATATAAGTATGTGAAATTCAATAAAAAAATCAATATATTTTATTTTTTTTTGAGATTGACCCAAAAAAAATTCTTCAGTTATAGATTAAAACTAGGAGTCTGAATGGTTACTAGAATCACAGATATATTTTTATTTTGTCTAAGCTATTGACTTTTAATCATGACTGGATTTCTGCTTATTTTTTACTATCAGATTACAATTTTTAACCGTTCTAGAGTTATGCCCCTTTATAAATGGAAAAATTGCCACTATTTAGTTTCCGTTCTCTAACTTAAGTTTGCCTCAACCAAATGTTATGAAACTTATACACAATACTTATTACCACAAAACACAGATCAAGTTTGAATTTTGGTGACGTCACTGTAACCGTTCTAGAGTTAAGCCCCTTTATAAATGGAAAAATTGCCAAATTTTTATTTTCTTCTAATTGGAGTTATCTTCCTTTGTCCATGATTATAGTTGAATCAACTATAATCAATGCTTTATACAATGCAATATTTAATTTTGACTTCCACTGATAAAACACAGATCAAGTTGAATTTGGGTAGTGTCACTTTAACCATTATTGAGTTATGCCCCTTTATAAATCGAAAGATTGCAAAATTTTTAGTTTCCATTCTGTAAATTAAGTTTGCCCCAACCAAACATTATGAAACCTATACACAATATTCATTACCACAAAACTAAGATCAAGTACATTTTTTTTTGTTTCCGTTTTCTAACTTTAGTTTGCCTTAACCAAATGTTATGAAACTTATACACAATGCTTATTAATACATAATACAGATTAAGTACGAAATTTGGTGGCAACACTTTTACCATTCTTGAGTTATGTCCCTTTATAAACATAAAAATTGCTGAATTTTTGGTTTCCGTTCTCTAACTTTAGTTAGTCTCAACCAAATGTTATAAAACTTTTACACAACCGTTCTAGAGTTGTGCGTGTTTACAAATAGAAACATTGCTGAATTTTTAGTTTCTGTTCTCTACTTAAGTTAGCCTCAACCAAATGTTATGAGACTTACACACAATGCTTATCACCACAAAACTCAAATTTGGGTAGCGTCACTTTTACCGTTCTTCAGTTATGTCCCTTTATAATTTCATAGTTCCTATACTATAAATGTTGTACAGTGTTGTGATTTCTAGCATGAATATATTATTATTTCAAATAATTATCAAATATTTTGATCACTTCTAAAAAAAGAAAGAAATATAAAAGAAAAACCAATAGATAAAATTAAAATATTTTAAATAGTGTCTCAAGTTTTAAAATTAGGGTTGACTCTTAGTTTGAAATTGTGAAGTATATTTGATTTAAATTTAGGTAGCTACATGTATGTATATTGTTGTATATATTTTTTATGATTTTTCTCATGAATGTATGACTTTTTTTTATTTCAAGACTTAGCTATATAGTCTGGTAAGTTTATCTTTTAAGAAAAAATATAACAGATTTTAAATATGATATATCTTTTTATTTTCGTTTTGATCAAAGGGAAATCACTACAATTTTGTTTATTTAGTTACAGTTCTTTAAAATTTTATAGTATTAATGTACTGTTTCTAAATATAATATAAATTAAGAACTTAAAAGTTAAATACGGTAGTCATTATATTTTATATTTTTATTTTTAACATATTTTTTGTGTACTATAAAATGTTGTGTGAAAATAAAATATGAATCAGTGTATTAGTAAGAGACAATAAATGGATTGTCTAAATTTTGGGAAACATTCTTAAGCTTTTATAAATTCAATAAAATCTTTTTTTGATATTTCTAATTTTTTATAATTGAAATCTTAATTTTGTTTATTGTATAATACTGTGGTATTTTTTCCATAGATTCAGTTATGCAAATGATTTAAAAGTTTTATTAGTTGCTTTATACATAGAATGTGTATTATATGATTATTTGTATTCATTCAAATAATCATAAAAGTACAAATTCTATCTCAAAACAATTAAGAAATTTAACTGTTTGAAATAACTTTAACAATATTATTGAATTTACTATAAAATGTTACTTCCATGTCATTCAACTGTTGATATTTATTGTTATGCTTAGGAAAGTGCCATGTAACTACTCTGAACAATAATAAAATAATAACATTTTACAATTGAAGTTTTTGTTTCATTCACATTTTCACCTAACATGGAAAAAATCATCTGTTCTGTATAAAAGTTTGTTGTTGGGTATGAGGTATAATTTTCCTAAACTGGACATGCATTGTCTCATTAAATGATATGTGTCTTTGAATAAAGTTGGTTAGTTATGGATCCACTTTTCAACATTTGTTTTCATTCCTTACACCTTTCAATAAAATATTCCTACAAGTTAATAAAAAGAAGACTTGGTATGATTGCCAACCCTCCACAAGAGACCAAATGACACAAAAATAAACAACAATAGGTCACTGTACAGCCGTCAACAACAAGCAAAACCCATACCACTTAGTGAGCTATAAAGAGCCTCAAAATTGTAGAATTTAACTTAACTGATCAATTATATCAATTGGGGGAGGCTAGGATGAAAAATTTTGTCCTGCCTTTTTATTTTTCCCTCTATTCGGTCCTGCCTTTTTTTTTTTTAATTTATCCTGACTTTTTTTTTTTACATAAATTGTCATCCTGCCTTTTTTTTTGCAAATAATCTCATCGTGCCTTTTTTTTTACTCAAAACTCCTGTCCTGCCTATTTTTTCAAATTTCATCCAACCCTCCAGGAATATGATAGTTGTTATCCATTCGTTTGATGTGTTTGAACTTTTGACTTTGCCAATTGATTAGGGACTTTCCGTTGGGAATTTTCCATGGAGTTCAGTATTTTTGTGGTTTTACTTTTTAACACCACACAATTTCCTGCATTCTAAAGGTATCTGCAGTCTTATTCAGATATTTTTGGAACAAAGATTTTGACCAAGATTATAACATAAGATTTGCATGATTTGACGAAAAGTTGAGCTCAAGATTGGAATAAGTCAATACATGCAAATCTGGTATGCAGTGTGTACTTATAAAGAAACAAGATATGTAGATTTAAAATTTTATTAAACATTTAATCTTGTACAACACATTATTTATACAAAACCTCAAAATAATAAACTCATTTGGGATGATTTGATTTGAATACTTATGACTAGACATTTAATTGCCATTGACTAAAAGTCAACTAGTTACTATCTTATATTGATATGTCAATAGTTTAAGAGTTCAACAAGGTACTCTGGAGATCATATTCAAGTCATAGTTCAGAGTTCAGTCCGATCCTTGTGCTGTTTCCCTTTTACATGACGGAGAATCTGAATTGCATACTGTACAATGTACCATACATTCCCCTTTCTTGGATGACCGAAGGCAAGGCTAGAGAGCCGTGTACGAGTCTTTATACTCTTGAAGGCATTTCCTTTTCTTATGCGCTGATTCTTGTTCAAAACTTTCATTTTTGCGTTTTTCAGAAACGCCGGCATCCATCCGTCCATGAAATGCACAAGGATAATAGTTACGCTGAACGGTGCCCACTGGTCACCTGAACAGAAACGGTTAAAATTGAGTCTATACGCGACAAAAAATAGTACATGATTTCCGGTTTAAAGTGAAAGTACGTTACTAAGGGGATACTCAGTGCAGCATACTCAGTTTATAATTGCTGTTATACAATACGGATATGAGCTTAATGCAAAGTTCTGGAATCACCATATTTCAAAGGATACTGTTGAGAGAGGTACAAAAAGTAAAAAATAATACACAAATAATCAATAATCATAATGATTCACTCAAAACAAACAATTGAAAATGCATAGAAGATTCATCTGTAACTCTATTAACGAGTGATATGGCTTATTTTTCAGAAAAAAAAATAACCTAATGGCCTATATTGCACTCTCATGAAATATAACTAAAAAGATGGTATGCCTCGAACTCGGGTACCTTTAAACTGCCATTGGTTACCTCTGGTCACCCTATACAGAAAATAATAGTGCATACAGTTACACTGGTCATTTGATACAAAATGCATAGTAACTTTATTAACCTTACTTCCTTTGCAGATAAATTTACAGTGGTTCTTCTAATTAATTGACACAGATATAGATATTGAATGGCCCTTAAACAGATATTGAATTTCTATACATCTTGTCACCTTTTACATAATTAATTGTGGTGACCTCTGGTCACCCAACACATGTATTGAATTGCAATAAACATTATAAGATATTGAATTTGGTTACCTCTTGTCAACCCGGCAAGCCTTCACAGATATTGAATTTTGTTGCACCTTGTCACCTTTTACATAATTAATTGTGGTGACCTCTGGTCACCCTACACATATATTCTATTTTTTATCTTTAGACACTGTGCATAACTATTGAATTTATTTAACTTTAATAACCCTACTTAGATGTTTAATTTGGTAATATATGGACACCCTACCAAGATGTTGTATATGGTTAACCCTAATCACTCTACAATGATGTTGAATATGGTTACCTCTGGGCACCCTACAAAGATATTGAATATGGTGACCTCTGGTCACCCTACCAAAATTTTGAATATGGTTCTTTCTGGTCACCCTACACATATATTGAATAAGGTTACCTCTAGTCATCTTACAAAGATATTGCATATGGTTACCTCTGGTCACCCTTCACATATACTGAATATGGAAACCTCTGGTCACCCAACACAGATGTTTGAATTAGTTATAAACTTGCCATCCTACACAGATAATGATCACGGTTATATCTGGACATCTTTCAAATACTTTTAATTGAGTTATGTTCGGTTTCAAAACCTATATACTGGCTTTAACTACCTCTTGTTACCCTAAATATGTCTTGATTTTGGTAATCTCTGGTCACCCTACTAAGACAAATACAATCAAAACCAAGGAGTAAACAGATATACCAAAAGAAATTTACAACAACATTAAAAAAGTAAGGAACAACAGGAATCTTCTTAATCATGTCTTGAACGCTCCCATCGTGTGAGTTCTTTCTTAAGTCCGGTAATAATGAAAATGTACTGATGACTGTGCAAGAGTTTTAATATGATTAATCATACATAAATTACTAAAATATTGAATTTGGTGACCTCTGGTCACCCTATACATATATGAACTTTAAATACCTCAAGTTACCCTACACAAATACTGAATTGGGTTACCTCTGGTCACCCTTCACATATTTTGAATGTGGTTACCTCTTATCTTACACAGATAGAAAACTTGATTACCTCTAGTCACCGTGCATAAATATTTAATTTGGTTACCTATAGTTAGCCTACTTAAATATTTAATTTTGTAAACTTCGGTCATAAATTGAACGTGGTAACCTCTGATCAACGTACACAAATATTGAAAAAGGTAACCTCTGGTAAACAATTACAGATATTGAAAATGGTTACCTCTGGTCAACCTACAATAAATTGGCTTATATTACCTATGGTTACAATTCATAAATAATGAATTTGGTAAGCATCGGTTATCCCGGTTCACACTTTTGCGCTACTTTTATAATTAATATAGCAACTTCTGGTCGCTGTACACATACATTGAATTATATTGCCATTGTCAACACACACATATATATATAGCAATTGCCTTTTTTGAATGTGGTAACCTCGGGTCGCCATACACAGATATAAAGTTATTTATCTTTAGACACCATACTTAAATATTGAATGTAGATACCTTTATTAAACCTACTAGTAAGCTGTTTATTTTGGTAATCTCTGGTCACACTGCCAAGATGATGAATGTGGTTACCTCTGGTCACCCTCCAAAGATATTGAATATGGTTACCTCTGGTCACCCTACACATATATTGAATAAGGTTACTTCTGTTCACCCAACCAAAATTTTAAATATGGTTACCTCTGGTCACCCTACTAAGATATTGAATAGGGTGACCTCTGGTCACCCAACCAAAACTTTGAATATGGTTACCTCTGGTCACCCTACACAGATATTGAATAAGGTTACCTCTGGTCACCCAACCAAAACTTTGAATATGGTTACCTCTGGTCACCCTACACATATATTGAATAATGTTACTTCTGGTCACCCAACCAAAACTTTAAATATGGTTACCTCTGGTCACCCTACACAAATATTGAATAAGGTTACCTCTGGTCCCTTTACAAAGATATTGCATATGGTTATCTTTGGTCACCTAAAAAGATATTATATGTGGTAACCTCTGGTCTCCCTACACATATATTGACTATGGTTACCTCTGGTCACCCTACACATATTTTGAACATGGTAACCTCTGGTCACCTTACCAAAACTTTGAATATGGTTTCCTCTGGTCACCTAACAAAGATATTGGATATGGTTTTTTTTGTCATCTAAAAAGATATTGATTGTGGTTACTTCTGGTCACCCTAAAAAATATTGAGTATGGTTAGCTCTTGTTACTCTACACAGATATTGAAAATGGTAACCTCTGGTCAACCTACAATAAATTGGCTGATGTTACCTATGGTTACAATTCATAAATAATGTATTTGGTTAGCATCTGTTATCCCGTTTCACACTTTTGCGCTACTTTTATAATTAATATAGCAACTTCTGGTCGCTGTACACATACATTGAATTATGTTGCCATTGTCAACACACACATATATATATATAGCAATTGCCTTTTTTGAATGTGGTAACCTCGGGTCGCCATACACAGATATAAAGTTATTTATCTTTAGACACCATACATAAATATTGAATGTAGATACCTTTATTAAACCTACTAGTAAGCTGTTTATTTTGGTAATCTCTGGTCACACTGCCAAGATGATGAATGTGGTTACCTCTGGTCACCCTCCAAAGATATTGAATATGGTTACCTCTGGTCACCCTACAAAGATATTGAATAGGGTGACCTCTGGTCACCCAACCAAAACTTTGAATATGGTTACCTCTGGTCACCCTACCCAGATATTGAATAAGGTTACCTCTGGTCACCCAACCAAAACTTTGAATATGGTTACCTCTGGTCACCCTACACATATATTGAATAAGGTTACTTCTGGTCACCCAACCAAAACTTTAAATATGGTTACCTCTGGTCACCCTACACATATATTGAATAAGGTTACCTCTGGTCACTTTACAAAGATATTGCATATGGTTATCTTTGGTCACCTAAAAAGATATTATATGTGGTAACCTCTGGTCTCCCTACACATATATTGACTATGGTTACCTCTGGTCACCCTACACATGTTTTGAACATGGTAACCTCTGGTCACCTTACCAAAACTTTGAATATGGTTACCTCTGGTCACCCTACACAGATATTGAATAAGGTTACCTCTGGTCACCCAACCAAAACTTTGAATATGGTTACCTCTGGTCACGGTGCACCCTACACATATATTGGATAAGGTTACTTCTGGTCACCCAACCAAAACTTTAAATATGGTTACCTCTGGTCACCCTACACAGATATTGAATAAGGTTACCTCTGGTCACTTTACAAAGATATTGCACATGGTTATCTTTGGTCACCTAAAAAGATATTATATGTGGTAACCTCTGGTCTCCTTACACATATATTGACTATGGTTACCTCTGGTCACCATACACATGTTTTGAACATGGTAACCTCTGGTCACCTTACCAAAACTTTGAATATGGTTACCTCTGGTCACCTAACAAAGATATTGGATATGGTTTTTTTTGTCATCTAAAAAGATATTGATTGTGGTTACTTCTGGTCACCCTACAAAATATTGAGTATGGTTAGCTCTTGTTACTCTACACAGATATTGAAAATGGTAACCTCTGGTCAACCTACAATAAATTGGCTTATGTTACCTATGGTTACAATTCATAAATAATGTATTTGGTTAGCATCTGTTATCCCGGTTCACACGTTTGTGCTACTTTTATAATTAATATAGCAACTTCTGGTCGCTGTACACATACATTGAATTATGTTGTCATTGTCAACACACACATATATATATAGCAATTGACTTTTTTGAATGTGGTAACCTCTGGTCACCCTACACATATATTGAATAAGGTTACCTCTGGTCACCCAACCAAAACTTTAAATATGGTTACCTCTGGTCACACTGCCAAAATGATGAATGTGGTTACCTCTGGTCACCCTCCAAAGATATTGAATATGGTTACCTCTGGTCACTCTACACAGATATTGAATAAGGTTACCTCTGGTCCCCCAACCAAAACTTTGAATATGGTTACCTCTGGTCACACTGCCAAGATGATGAATGTGGTTACCTCTGGTCACCCTCCAAAGATATTGAATATGGTAACCTCTGGTCACCCTACACAGATATTGAATAAGGTTACCTCTGGTCACCCAACCAAAACTTTGAATATGGTTACCTCTGGTCACCCTACACATATATTGAATAAGGTTACCTTTGGTCACCCAACCAAAACTTTGAATATGGTTACCTCTGGTCACCCTACACAGATATTGAATAAGGTTAACTCTGGTCATTTTACAAAGATATTGCATATGGTTATCTTTGGTCACCTAAAAAGATATTATATGTGGTAACCTCTGGTCTCCCTACACATATATTGACTATGGTTACCTCTGGTCACCCTACACATATTTTGAACATGGTAACCTCTGGTCACCTTACCAAAACTTTGAATATGGTTACCTCTGGTCACCTAACAAAGATATTGGATATGGTTTTTTTTGTCATCTAAAAAGATATTGATTGTGGTTACTTCTGGTCACCCTACAAATATATTGAGTATGGTTAGCTCTTGTTACTCTACACAGATATTGAAAATGGTAACCTCTGGTCAACCTACAATAAATTGGCTTATGTTACCTATGGTTACAATTCGTAAATAATGTATTTGGTTAGCATCGGTTATCCCGGTTCACACTTTTTACGCTACTTTTATTATTAATATAGCAACTTCTGGTCGATGTACACATATATTAAATAATGTTGCCATTGTCAACAAAAATATATAGCAATTGCCTTTTCTTAATGTAGTTACCTCGGGTCACCATACACATATATAAAATTATTTATCTTTAGACACCATGCATAAATATTGAATGTAGGTACTTTTATTAAACCTACTAAAATGTTTATTTTGGTAATCTCTGGTCACACTACTAAGATGTTGAATGTGGTTACCTCTGGTCACCCTCCAAAAATATTGAATATGGTTACCTCTGGTCACCCTACAAAGATATTGAATATAGTAACCTCTGGTCAACCAACCAAAATTTTGAATATGGTTACCTCTGGTCACCCTACTAAAATTTTGAATATGGTTACCTCTGGTCACCTTACAAAGATATTGCATATGGTTATCTTTGGTCATCTAAAAAGAGTTTGAATGTGGTTACCTCTGGTCACCCTACACATATATTAAGTATGGTTACCTCTGGTCACTCTACGCATAATTTGAACATGGTCACCTCTGGTCACCCGCACAGATATTGGCTATGGTTACCTTTGGTCAATCTACAAAAATTTGGCTTATGTTACCTATGGTTACAATTCATAAATAATGAATTTGGTTAGCAATGGTTATCTCGGTGCACACTTTTTGCGCTACTTTTATAATTAATATAGCCACTTCCGGTCGATGTACACATATATTAAATTATGTAGCCGTTGTCAACAAATATATATAGCAATTGTTTTTTTTTAATGTGGTTACCTCGGGTCACCAACACAGATATACATTTATTTATCTTTAGACACCATGCATAAATATTGAATTTAGGTACCTTTATTAACCCTACTTAGATGTTTAATTTGGTAATCTCTGGTCACACTACAAAGATGTTAAATGTGATTACCTCTGGTAACCGTACAAAAATATTGAATATGGTTACTTCTGGTCAACTTACAAAGATATTAAATAGGGTGACCTCTGGTCACCCTACCAAAATTGTGAATATGGTTACCTCTGGTCACCCTACACAGATATTGAATAAGGTTACCTCTGGACACCTTACACAGATATTGACTAAGGTAACCTCTGGTCACCTTACAAAGATATTGCATATGGTTACCTCTGGTCACCCACACAGATATTGGCTATGGTTACCTCTGGTCATCCTACACAGATATTGAAAATGGTTACTTTTGGTCACCCTACAATAAATTGGCTTATGTTAACTATGGTGACAATTCATAAGATGAATATCGTTTGTCAATTTAAAAGATATTGAATGTGGTTAACTCAGGTCATTCTACACAGATATTAAATATGTTTACCTCTGGCCCCCCTACACAGATTTCGAATTGGGTAACCCTTTCATATTATTGAATGAGATTACCTCCGGTCATCGTATACATATATTTACTTAAATTACCTCTGGTCACCCTTTACAGATTTGGAATGTGGTTACCTTTGGTCACCATACACAGGTATTAACTTTAGGTTCTGGTCACAATTCATAATTAATGAATCTTTATTGGCATCGATTATCTCGTTTCACACTATCCAGATGTTAAATTTGGTTAACACTTCCCGCAACATTTATATTGAATATGAATATTGCTCATCATAAACAGATAATGATTATGGATATCTCTGGATACCCATCCTATAATTTATTTACTTTTGGTAATCTGACGCAAATAATGTCTCAGGCAACCTCTTATTACCCTGAACTGCAATTCATTTTGGTTAAATCTGTTCATCCTATATATAATTATATGACTTTTAAGGGGTCTCATGGTTTCTCCGGTTATATACAATTAATAAAAAAAAGATTTTGTTGACATTTTAAAAATAAATATGATATATTTCACATTCTCATTACAGGGTTTTTTGTTCGTGAATTAAATAGAGGAAATATGACAGGTGTAACAGGCGATTTTGAAGGTAATGGTTACAGTTTAAAACATAATTATTTCATTAATCATAGTAGAGGTCATATAAAGACCAATATTCAATTCCTAAAATCAGAATTCGAAACGTAGGGTTGATAGTACAAATCAAATACTTCGAAAACTAGAAAAACTGCACAAATTCCAAAATTATAGTTAAGGAATGTCAAATTATGATACATTATCGCGGTGTATATTTGAAACATCGTTATTTATTCCGCCATTTCCATATCTTACAGGTTTGGAAAACTTTAATTTGGAAGACCTCCATGAATTGCGACATGAAGAAAAGGAAGAAGTTAAAAAACAGATTGAAGCCATATATATTGAGGCAACCTCTTTGGAGAAAAAAGCCAGAGAATTGGGTATGAATTGTGTTTTCTCATTTATGCCCAAACCGCCACAAATGTCGTGATATTTTTCATACAGTATTGTATAGATTACGCTGTTTAGATCATACAATTGAGAAATAGTTCATTTAGGCTTGAATTTATACTGATTTTACCACGGATTGACCTTTTATGCTAAATATTTTACAACGACCGATGGCATGGATAATATGCTCTTCATTTTTTAAAACTTTATTCAGCTACGATCAATTATCCTTGGCCAATTTGTAATGGCTCAGCGACTGCGTATATATTTTTTTTAAAAGTGTTTCAAAATTAGTATCTTATTCCAACAAATCGAAAATTGTTACTGTTTTTGTTTTTTTGTGTACATATGCAAATTGAAAAAATATGATTTATTCTAGGAAATTACACGCACAAATATTATATTTCCCTACCATTTTAGCATGTGATACAAATTCAAAACAGTATATTCTTCGCCACGCACAAACCTTAACAGAAAAAGCAAATGAGATGAAAGAAAAGATATGCTTAGCATCAGGTGATTTATTTCTTTATCTGTATTATATTATAGATATACATTTATAACACAGTAGTGTTATTTTTATGTTAATACTGTAGACTTTTGTAGTTGAATATATCTGTTGGCACGCAAATTGGAAACTGAAAAACAGAAAATTCAAAAGGCACTTAATCAAATCCACTTGTCATAACCAAATTGACAAAGCCACGACAATAAACACAAAATCGGGAACAAGACAAACATCATTCCACGGAATTGGTTTGCGGTTTATTCCTTACTTTATCATTTGTTTATCATCTCAAAACTAGTGTACATAACACACTTTGGCAGTTCACTTAATACTGATCAGTGTTTTATTTCAATTTTCTTATGATGCCCTTTATTAGTAAAAAGAAAGGATTCATATCAAATTTTTACCTCCCCACACACACATACCAGCACACCCACATACACACCAACACACCAACACACATACACACACCAACACACCAACACACATACACACCTACACACACATTTTCTAAAACAAAATGTCAATACCAATTACATGCATCTAGTTGCTGCCATCATTCAAATTTTAGAATGTTTTTGGTTCTGTATCTTCATTTTATTTGTTTAATTCAAAACAAAATAATTTACACAAAACCAGTCAACCACCAGCATATTATCATTGCTTTCAATAATCATGAATAACAAAGTCAAATATTGTTTTTGAATAAATTTATGAATAGCCAAAAATGTCAGACTTTTGTGATACAAATATTTCAGAGCAGAAGGTCTGAAAAAGTTAATTTATAATTCTAAAGAGGTGAATGTCAACAACCTCACAAAGAAATGAAAGAATCATAATTCATATTTTATTGTAAAATTCAGAGTTTACCCAGAATCATATCACTCTTAACAAATCTGTCAAATGATCCCTGAATAAACAAGTAATATTTTCAATGATACGTTTTTATTACAATTGAATACACATAAGTATGTATAAACAATGTCATTTAGCTGTAAATTTGAAGTGAAGAAATTTTAACCTTATATTCTAATATTAAGGGAAATCATTCCAAACACCTGATGAACTACAAATTGCTATAAAGCAATCCATAGCTTCAAACGAGGAACAAACATTAATAGTTGAGAGACTTAAGAGGAACTGTTCATCCCATGGCTTAGAATACAGAGGTCAAACACCAGGGAATGGTAATTGTTTTTTTGAAGCAATCACATGCCAGCTAGATAGAATTGGCGCAGACGTTATTGCTCCCGAACAATTAAGAACAAATGTTGTAAACTACATATCAACACATCCTAGTTTTGAGGTAAACTAATTTACTTGTTAAATACATTCACTAATTATCAAACTCCTCCATGGACAGAAACATAAAGAATTAGTTGGACATGTTTTCAGGGGACAAATCAAAACCGTTGGCAACGTTAGTGGCGCATCAGCACAACTTAAATATATGATTTAAATCAGTAAAGAAGCTATTAACACACAAATACCATCAAAAATACTTCCGAAGACAATTTTCCGGACTACTGTGACAGGATGTTACAGAATGGAGAGTACGCAGACCATGTTGTGGTCATTGGAATGTCCAGAATGCTACAGAGAGACATAGTTATTGTCACCAGTGCTCCCAGTACCAATAATGAGGATAGTGTCCTTTGGGTAACTGGTTGTGATGGTTTTTCCGGTAATCCTATTCTTCTTGGGCACATTTTCGAAAACCACTACCAGTCACTCCAGCCAAAAGGTAACTGATAATAGAAATTATATAATTTATGATTATCTCTCATAAAGAGATACCTTTACAGTTATAGTTTAAAGTAACGCATATGTAAATCTATGTTAAAAAAATAATGTCTACGGTTGATAGTTGGGAAATATCTTATAACACGAGATATAGTTGTGGAATCTGTTAATCTAATGATTCCAATAAAATTTGATAATTTGTTTAGATTATTTACAAAAAGTCATGCTCTTCTTGTCTGACTTCATCGGGCATGATCACCTATTCCAATGACGTCATTATATAAAATTCAGAGGAAAGCAAAATATTTGTCGTCATTATTATATTTCGACTAAGGAAGGACTTCGATCAAATGACCCACGTTTGGTAAAATGTTGATCAATATTGTGCTCAGAAAGGGATAAATACCATAGAATCAGTAAAATGTCCATATTTATATATTTGATATTTTATCAAATTGTTTTTGGCAAAACGAAATGAAATAAGTTTATTTTAACTTTGTTCTTCATTAGGCATTTTCACATTTTCGATAGGAGCGACCCTAATGAGTCTTACGTAGACGGAACACATTTTTAAGCCTTATATCTTTGAATTAGGTAGATCATCACTATATATCTGTATATCGCCATCTTGAATTGTAAAATAGCAGCACACAAGCGACAAAGTTCTTTATTTAAACTGCAAATTTTGAGACATAAATGCTATTCATTTTTAAAACTCTTGTTTGATAAATGTAAATAAGTGCATTATATCATTGAAAAAATAAGTGTTATTGTAAAAACCGGCTATCAGTCTTTGTTTGATTCAATTTGTCAACTGAGCTAATTAACGGAAGATAACTTATTTGGTGAATTTTCTTTAAAGGAATGATAATGAAATTTCCATTTTTCGCAAGAAAACGAGATTTATTTTCACCCTTTTTCTTTTGATTTTCTACTAAATTGTGGCTATGTATAAGAAAATTATGTCTGAGAAAAAAATTCAGTAATGATCTACCTTAAATCGTTTTACGTTTTTTCACTGTAGACTGTTTTTGAAAAAGAAAAATATTAAAGGAAGTATTGTAAATGTGATATTTATATAAGTTTACTTTACATAATTTGATTGCATAATTACTGCATTGATATCAATCAGCATTAGAGGCAAAGTTTTTCTAATTGGCAAATACATTCAGATGCAAAAAAGCTTTATTTTAACAGATAAACTAGTATTAATTATAAATTATTACGTTTTTTTGTTAATTGTAACGTTTATACAACAAATTTTAGGTGACAGTGGCAAACTTGATCACCACACGAATGATTAGCATGCAACAAATGATGATAACCTTTTTATTCCTGTTGATGTGTGCAACGAAGAACTCAGCAACTATAACATGACACATGATGTTGAAGGTACAATATTGTTCCTTCGGAAATGTTCACTAGCCATACTTATCATCAGTGATTTTAAAATGATTTGAATAACTTATAATTAGCGGGAATTTCTCGCTACATTGAAGACCTGTTGGTGACCTTCTGCTGTTGTATTTTTCTACGGTCGGGTTGTTGTCTCTTTGACACATTCCCCATTTTTATTCTCAATTTTATTATAAAAAGTAAAAGTCATTTTATCATCCACTTTTATACATAACCTACCATTAGTATACATAGACGTCAATATTCTATAAAAAATAATTAGTTGTATTATAAAGTTGCAGTTTATAGATACTACCAATGAGCATGACTTTATCGAAGGCTTTTCGAAAGTCAACAATGCATTTAAAACACATTTTATTTCCATTTCTCCGTACTTCCAACGACAAAATTATTATACTTAAATTTGACTTTACATGCGAAATTTAAAGTGGTTTATCTAACGTCATTTTGTCGCAATAGTTGTATCATGTGTCCTCCTTTTTTATTATTAACTGTAACGTCTATGTTATACTGCAAATGCGTTTTATTATTGTATTAATACTGTGTCGCGAAGTATACTTATGTTTATAATTGTATTTTTTGTAACTCGTTAATTGTTTTGTCAGAGTTAAGCCATTTTCCATTATTTGCTTTTATAGTGCGTCTTTTCTTTTAATGTTTTACTGCTGTTTTACGTGTAATGTGCAGGTTTGCGCCTGTTGAAACGTTCAAATATATTATATGCAACTATTTTTTTGTGTTATTAAAATTTGCTGTTACAAAATATTAGAAATTATTATAAATTAAGGAATGTATCTCCCTCATGCAAAGCTCTGATTTCTTTCACGGATTTGGCTATACTTTTTGGACCTTTTGGATTATAGCTCTTCATCTTTTATATAAGCTTTGGATTTCAAATAATTTGGCAACGAGCATCACTGAAGAGACATGTATTGTCGAAATGCGCATCTGGTGCAAGAAAATTGGTACCGTTAATTTTATTGTGCAGAGGTCGTTTGTTGGTATTTTTCATCGATGTCATCATTTGTTTTTAAATTTATAACAAGTAAACTAGTGTTACTACACAGCAATACATATGCTTTTCTTACCCTAGATATGCCATTCGTAGAGTTTGTGAGATCCACCTTCATCAAAAAACGGAAAAATGGTACTGATTGCATTGTTAGACGTTTAAGGTATGGGAAATTTTATTTTAATCGAAAATATATAGTTTTGAAATCAACTAATTTCTATATGCTACCTTCTTCCTATGACCTAATGGTTTCAATAGAATTAAAAGAAAATAAATATCTATCACAGCAAAACATATACCTTCAGATTATTGAAAAATAACTCTGTTTGTTATTCAGAATAATTTTACTGAACTTCAAATAGTCTTACAAAATATAAAAATCACTGTATTAACAAAGGGATCATTTTTAAGAACTCTATTTTTTGGGGGACAATTTAAGTCTATTATACTATGGTGTAACTCTTTCCAATGTTTCTGAATATATGGATGATTTTTTGGTCACACTATTACACTGAAACATATTGTTGTGTTTTATCAGCTAGCATTTGTGACTTTGGCTTCAGTTTTTGCTTATCATTCAACAGAAATGAAGTGGACAACGAAGACGTCATAACCAAGCATTTAATGGATATAACAATCACAGGGAATTTTATTCACAGGAAAGCAAATAAAACCACATTGCAATACAGGTGTGAAAGGTAATTTTAATCATCTAAGTCGATAATCTATAAAGGAATTTTATCTTGAAATAAATCCACTCTTGTTTTTCTCCAAATAAACAATAAATAGAAAAAGAGAACAACTTTAGTACCAATCGTAAACATTCTTAAAGAATCTATTTACATATCTTGCATATCAAATTTGCAAGACAATGCTGAGTTAAAAGATACATTTGTGACAGAAAATAATATTGGTATAGTTTTGAAAGAGATGAGTTGTATAATCTTGACTTCTGGTTGTATGTTATTCTCTTGCTTTTTTTCAATAATATACGTTTTGTGTTATAGTTTATACAGTAATTATAGTATGGCCTTTAATAACAGATAGTTCCGAAAGCTTTTAAACGTATTGAACTATGAATTTTCTGAAATATTGCACAACATTTTTCTCTTTGGTTATCTATAAAGTTAAGATGCATATTTGTTTAAATTTTATCATGTTTATTTTAGATGTAATAAACCAAGAGGAAAAAAACAGGTCCTTTGAATACCAGGGCAAATAATTGTCAGGCATATGTGTCATTCCAGTATGTTATGTTAATGTAATATTCATCTATCTCTTTTACTTTTCTTTTATGATGCAAAACTATAAATTAATTTATAACTTTTAAGCGTTTGAACATCATTATTTATTGATCCTAACATCCTTGTTGTAGTTAAGCAACCTTTTGTCCGTGTCTTGAGAGTGGGAATTAAATGCATTTATCATATTACTAAACCAAACACATTTAAACAGGTATTCACCGGGCATACACCATTCATGAGTTTCTGGCTAGTTTACCTGACATTTCATGTGATGAGCGGGTCAATACACCCTGTCATGGTTGAAATTATTATATAGAGAATCCCTGTATCAAATTATATAGAATTTGGTATATATCATTTTGATGATAAGTTATCAATTTACAAGGAGAACACAACAACCATAGCAGTTATTCGAAGTAGCCTTACACATATTTTTAGAAAAAATAATCCTTTTCTTCAAGTCCGATAGATCTTAAATATTGCTTACAAGCTGTTGTAATAAATATAATAATGATACGTTTGGCAAAACAGTACTAACCAGTGCGTTGTACATGTAACAAAAATCATTAAAGGGCATGTTAATATCTTCTTACACAGATTTTTGACCCATTTGAGTAAAAAAGCAGTAATAATTCGGCAACAACTAAAACACAATGGACACAGTTTACAGATAAAAGAGGAAAAACACCAATCACGCCCAGATCACAGCTTACTGCTTTATATAGATGCTTTACTTGATCAGGTATTCATGTCGTCGGTATTATATATAATTTATTGCTCATAACGAATTGACTTATTTTTCAATTATAAGTTGCTGGCACTCTTATAAACACAATGATAATAAAAATTGTGTATGCTGACATTATTGGAGTTTAATATTTTCTCAACCATTCTGTTCTTTTCGATGTCTGTGTTTGTCTTCCGGCGCATTTTTTCATAATTTGCAAAGATTATAATGAATGAATAGGTTGAAATAAATCAAAAATAAAATGATTAGGATAAAATTGGCTTGCCAGAGAGTCATTTAATGCATTTACATAAATATCGGACGCTTGTATGAAATATTTTAATGAAAAAACCAGTTTAAAGCTGAATAGCATTGATGATAAAATATTCTAGAAGACATATATTTTTACAATGACATATATTGATACAACGACATATTTTGTGTTGATTTGAAAAAATCCTTAAGCTCAAAAAGATTTTAACTAAATTTGAAATTAATTGTAATTGACACGAATTTAATTTTATTTCATTATCAATAGGGGAAAAAACCCATGGAAATATTGTGCAAAGCATGGAAATGGGCTAGAGATCAAGGGCATTTTGATGTGCACGATAGAAGATACTATCTGACACCAGTTGACATTAAGAATATATGTCAACGTTACAAAATGGATAAAAGGTATCAAAACATAATCAAAAGATTTACTTAAAATATGTACTTACTACTTTGTTCTTCTAAAAAAACAGGCTCATTGTTGAAGGCCGTATGGTGACCTATAGTTGTTAATGTTTGTGTCATTTTTGGTCTTTTGTGGATAGTTGTCTCATTGGTAATCATACCATATCTTCTTTTTTATATTTGTCTCTACGCATCCAGTCATCGAACCACATCTTCTTTTTTATATTTGTCTCTACGTATCCAGTCATCGAAAAATAACACATTATCCGGACTTCAGTTACCTCTGATAACTTGAACCAAATCTTAATATTGACAAAGACTTTGCTACCTCTGATAACACTTAACATATACAGACTTTGGTAACCTCTGGTTAATGAACACATATATGGACCTGGGTCGCCACTTGTACCCTTAAATGTTTGTAGAATTTGATAATCACTTTTCACCATTTTGTTAACTTTGGTCACCTGAAACATATATATAATGATACACAGGTATTGACTAGGGCTACCTTAATCATACTTGTGTTTCCTATGTCTATTTTAGATATGTATATAATCTATATCCCTTTTGAAACCGTACACATATATTGACTTTGGTTACCACTGTTCACCGCAACTTTGGTCACATCTGGACAATTTAAAAAAAAATGATAGCTTTACACAAAGTATATCCTTGGTTCCGTCTTGTTACATCTACATACTTTAGTAAAGTGAAATTTAAAGAGCATTTGGTATTTAGTACCTTACACTGGAAATGACGTTGGTTACCTCCATCACATTTATAGATACAGCCTTTGGTTTGTGGTTCTTTAAACTGATGCACTGTTTGCAAACCCAATGGTTCGTCTGTTAAAATCATTACTTTATTCACCATTTTAATCTTTTTACCAATCTGATTGTAAACATGCACTTTACACAGTAAATTAACTTTGGTGTTTTCTGGTCAAATTATACAGATGTAATGTTGACATTGATTTTGTATATGTCAGTACTGGTATTGATCTATGATATTTCCTCATTTGTTTTAGAATTCACCAGAATGATGCTGTAGCTGTACACGAGCTATGCACACAAATACTGAAGGAAGAGATAATTTTCTACCAAGAATTGAAAGAGTAATTATTCTTATATAATAATGTACTTTTGTAAATTTTAATAACTGATATAAGCATAATGCTGATAAAGAGTAATTCTGAAATTACTGATTGATACCCTGTTTTGTTCTTCAGACATGACTGGATTGCCTTATGTTCAAATAGTTTTTATAGTACTCGTCTGTCCAATTTCGTATATGATTTTGTCTGTAAAATGTTTCAATGAGAGCTGTACAGATGAGTTTTCTGTAGACTGAACGTATATCTGACTTCTCATAATAGATGATTTGTATTTTTGGTTTTTATCCTTTTGAGTGTTTTTAGTGCTACACTTGTTCACAAGTCATATATTTTGTCAATATATTTTACATTTTTGTCTTTTTCAGTTTTAATAGAGGTTATTTAATATGAGTACAATGTAGCTAGTTTGTCGTCTTCTTTTCCATTAAATGGACATGATTTCAACATAAAATATATAATTCATACTCATACTTTTGGTCATTAAATATGTAACATTTACATTGTAGGGGAGTACAGCCATTAGTAATTATTTACCAGAATGAAGCACAAAGAAAAAGAATGGTGAAACTAGCAGAAAATGTGGTGTTTTTAGATGCTACATATAAAGGTATATACTTGTATATAATCATGGAAATTTCAATTTAAAATATTGATACGTTTAAAAGAATTGAACTGTGTGACAATAAACTTACAACATGTTTTTTGTTTGTTTTAAGGATTAACTGCCTATGGTTATTCATTCTATGCTCTTGTTGCAAGAGATGAACAGCAAGGCCGAGGCACTCCTCTTTCGTACTGTATCTCGTCAGATGATACTGGTGAAGTTGTCAAAATATTTCTGAGATCTCTGAAGACTACGGCTGAAAATCATGGATTTGATTTCCGTCCAAGGTTTGTGGGTATCAAAGTTGACAATATTTCGAATTCAATATCATTGCTTATTAACACTTTTCATTTTCGTCTTATTATTTGTTTACAATTAGTAACATTATTCGGAGTCAACATCAAATCTGATATGGATATAAAAGATAAATAAATACCATTCAATTATATGTTTTAATTAATTTGGCTGTAAAAATTACAGGTTAAACTATGACATTATTCACATATTCGTGCAGTGATAGTTATTTGAAATGACAAATAGACAATGCTATGATAGATTCATCTAAAGAAACATTTTTTCATGCATATCAAAATTAATACAATTAAGGTCCACAATAATTTCAGTTGAATTTTGGCAAAGAATATTAGATAAATAATTTTTGCATAATAATATTTTTCTAATGTACTAATGAAACTTACAAAAACATCAATTTCCTTAAAATCTTTTGAGTGATTGATTGATTGATTGTTGGTTGCTTAACGTCCAGTGGCAAATATTTCATGCATATTCAGGACGAGAACAAGTTCACAATAAATACAATAGGTAGGTTCTGTAATAGATTAAGGGGTTAAGGTCGGAGAAATTTAGACTGCCACGGGAAATGAGGGTATATTGGATAGGGACAGAAATTTAGCCTTCCAACAGGTCACCTACGGACCCCTCAAAGAGTTGTTGCAAGGGTTCTTAACGTGCAAAGAGCGTGGCACTCTCTTTACACGAGGCATCGGATTTAACGTCCCCATTCTGACCGGACGTGGCTGCAAATTTGTACATCCCGCACAGCCAAACGGACGCCCCACTTTAGCACGGGTTTTACTGCCGGTCGGAGGAAGACCAATGGTGACCATACTTCTATTCCCCAGGCACCCTTGGGGGGATCTTTTGAGTGTGATCTATAGCAAGGCTTTAAAACCAAAGCATTTAAGATTAAAGCATAGTCAGGTTTATACATAACATAATAATTAAAGCTTTTTTAGTCCTGTTTCCAAACTTTTTAATCACAAATTAAAAATCTAATTGATATAAAAAAAAAAAGAATTTACATAATTATTTACAAATTAACAAATAGTATTATAGAAAAAAACCAATATGAGATAAAGATATAGATTGTTGATACTGCAGTGTTACATTTTGTTTACTAGATCTTTTATGGTAGACAGAGATACCAAAGAAATCAGCGCAATTAATGAAGTATTCCCAAACAGCTCTGTTTTACTTTGCTGGTTTCATGTTTTACAGGTATTATATTATTCAATATATGTATCATACATTTTACCTTATTCTTTATGGGAAAAAAATCAGTTATTAAATGAGAGTTATTCTGTGAAGTTTCACTCTTTTGGATCAATAAGTATTAATTGCATTGGATTTAACATTTTATATCTTTTTTTTGTGTTTATAAGCTTGAGGTCAGTTTTGAATTAATAAATAGACTCTTTCGCATTAATACTTTCATAGATCAAATATTATCTTGTTGAAAAATAATTAGTCATGATATATTCAAGACAATGTTTAATTATTATTATCAAGAATCTTTAAGACATGAACTAAATATAAATGATTTGATTTACAGGCTGTGTACAGATTTTTGAATAAAAAAGAATCTGGTGTATCAGGACCCATGCACGCACATACCAGAAAAAAAGTTATTGACTATATTAGAACTATGAAAATATGTACCAAGGTAATCAAACGTGATAGTTAAGACAAATAAAATATAATGAACCTATGATACCACAGTGAAATATAATAATTTTTAAATTGGTCAATAATTTTGAGTTGGTCCTGACAAATTCAAATAATGTATTCGAATATTTAAAATGTACTAGGTGAATGTTAATTTACATAGTATAACTTGACCTGCTTCTGATAATAACAGTTTTATATGCAGAGGATGTGAAACATTGTTAAAAAATTAATCACGAGTGTGTGGCCTCACAATGAAACACGATTGGTTATTGATATGTTTATATTATAAGAAAAATCCCTGTAGAAATGAAACCTCAGTGGGATCTTTTTCTCCTTTTCCAACATTGTAATTGTTTTAATATCAAAATCATACCAACAAGATTTTTCAAATAGAGTCAATTAAAACGCAATAATAATAATAATAAAAAATACAATCAATGAATTTTGGTTGATAAAAGATGAAAAAAAAACCACTGAAACATATAGAAATGAATCTCTATTGAATTAAAGCAGTAAAATAATTTAGAAAGTACAAATAGTTGCTTAATGCGATTTAAAGATCTTACCTATAAATATACAATGCTTATGAGTACACGCGTGTTTAATCTATAAAATCTGATTTTATACTCAAAAGAAATGTGTCAATATAATTTTTCATCAGAAAGAAGACTTTTCTCAAAAAGTTAAAATGTTGCAAGAGAAGATGCCTTCCAAACAAATAGCAGACTACTTGTTAGACAACTGGTGTACTGACAAGTGGGGATGTCGATGGGCCAACTATGGAAGACATTTTTTTCATGAAGATCAAGATACAAATAACTTAGTTGAAAGGTTATTAATACATTTTATTACTATACACCTTATATTTTACAAGATCGAAATTTTAAGCATCATCTAATTATCATCTGTTTGATAATAGTAACTAAGTATATTTTATTTTGGGGATAAATTTTCTGAACTGTCTCTGTTTTTATGACCTGATTTATAAAAAGTATTACACTTTGTCTAAATCCTACTTCTTCATGGGTAACCAAAGACATAGCATGATATAAACTTTACAATTTTTAACTATATGGAGAGGATTTTTGCCGTTCTTTCATGATAGGGTTATGCAAATTTAATACAAATATCATAATTGTCAATGCAAGTCGATAATTACATAAAAGCAGACAAAATGAAAAAATGTAGTCTAGCAAAACCTGATGTGTATGAGGATATTAAAACAAAAAAATATAATGCTACTTATAACATTCAAATGTTAACACATTAATATTTTATGTACTTTCTATTTGTACATTCAAATATAAATCATAAATTCAAAGTCCTTAACATTTTGTCATTTTCAGGTTTTTCCTGGGCATGAAATACCATTTCCTTGGTGGGTATGCCAATAGCAGAGTAGAGGACTTACTACTCCTTCTCCATGGAAATGTATCTATGTTTTATGAGTAAGTAAGTTTAAATTTGTCACAATCCTGTTCTTCTTATCGTTCACTTGAATCGTCTGAAATTAGAAAGACCATTTTAATTTAAGATGCAAATACATTGAATATTAAATACTGTGAATTCAATTTTTTAAGAAATAATTTATTATTAGATCTTTGAATTATGTTTTCATAACCAAAAATAAATTAAAAAAAACATCGTAATTTTAGTTATCTGGATGAACTCGCAAAGATTGGTCGCCTGAAAAATATGGGAGGACAAAGGGGAGACAAAAGTAAATTGACAGCAGAGAATATGCTCAAGGCAGGACTCGACCAAACTGTGCAATGGACTTCATCCACAGAATGCACTGTTCCATCACAGACAGCATTTGGGACGATTTATAATGTGGACATTGTCAATGAAGTGTGCAATTGTCCAGCAGCAACAACAAGAGGTATTTTTTTAGCATCTTAAGTCAGTCCAACAATGTTTAAAAGTACACCATCAAGTATGAATTGTTGAAATCAAGATTATTAATTTCGGGTACCGTATATGGTTCCCGGAAATGCTTATCCTTCTAAGGCACCTAATTTCACTTCAGGTATTCAGTGGAATTCGTGTTGTTTATTATTGTTTTTTACTGTTGTTGTAAATGTCTTATGGTTTTATGAGTCTCCTCGGTTTTGATTGTTTTTGTCTTCCAACAAGGCATTATCAACCGTCATCAGGTTATACAAGTGCAAATAATCATTTTCCTCATCAAATTTTCTAAAACAATGCGATCCAATTTAAGTAAATCTTTACTCAACGTTCATTAGTGGTTTTGTTTAAAGTTTGTACAATTGAAAGTGAACCATAAAGGTACAAGTTATTTATGTTCCATTCTCTACTATTTTTCAGGAATGTGTAAGCATGTTCATTTAGCTGAATTGATTGCTTCTAAAAGGAACATCGACCTTACTGTAGTGCGCAGATCAGAAGCAATGGATGTATTTAATGCAGAACAATATTTTTATGACAGAGATAACAACCAGGTAGAGGTTTTGTCAAGATTGGGAAATGTATCAGTTGTTAATTTGACCTCTTTCAAATGTACATGTTTTGCCAATAGCCATGGTAAACATTGTGTTTGTGTGATGGTAGCAAAACTGGTAGTTCCATCACCTGACATAGAGTCTACCTCAATTGATGAAACAAAACAACAATTAATTGAAGACAAAGAAACAACCGACCAGGCTATTAAAAGAAAAATTGAGGAAATCAATTTATATGTAAACAATAAAAATTTCCAGACAATTGACGTGAAAAAAAAGAAAGCTATTTGTCAAGCACTCACAACGGCATTACATATTTGTAAGACAACCAACTTTTCCAAAACAACAAGAAAGCGAAAGCGGCAACCGCTGTTTCCAAGCAGAAAATCCAAAAGTCCAAAAACTGATCATGACTATTCAGTAAGCCGAAAGTGTGTTCTGAAAAAACGGGGGCGTAAAGTTAATGATGATGGCAGTTTCAAATCTACGCACAGAAAGAAAGGATCCATTCGTAAACCATTTCAATGAAAAAAATAATGAAATATTATACTGATTTTGAAAAACTGCCTTTTCTAGATATTCGTTCAAAAATTGTATATGTTACATAGGTGCTTAAATGCTTTAAAAGTAGGACATATACAGTTTGCTCTTGAAATGTTTTGCAAAGATACTGATGTGAACAAATGGATATAATTTAATATAACAAATACCTATTCCTAATGATGATTTTGTCAAGCAGATAACTTGGCTAATTATTACATTGGACTAGGTCTGTTTGTTGTCTCAAGTAGGTTATATTTTTTAAGCAAATGATCAAATATGTTTTAAGTTAAGATAATACGTGTCATGTGTCTAATAAATCATTACCTGGCAGCATTGTCTGTATTGTCTTCCAAAAGGCCTCAAAAATTTTCCCATGCATTGCCTTGTTTACATTAGTTTTATTTAGTTCGGCTATAACATGGCCAACAATTTCTCTGCAAATATAAGTTAAGACAGCAATTTAATTATTATAGGACATTTCTTTACCTACACAATTTTATATAATGACACCATCTTAATTATTCTAGTTTTAATAAGAATCACTTAATCTAAGCAAATAAAAGACTTAATTTACAAGAATGCATTTTATTTTATTGACTTAAATATTTTTTTTAAATGTTTTAATATGTTAATACTATAATGCTTAATTTATGTCATTACTAACAAAAATTGTATTCAATAATTTCAAATGTTTCCTAGCTACAACAAAATAGAGCATGTTAAACCGTTGGAAAATAAATGAGAATAGCAATGTTATACATTAGTAATTTGTACATCAATAATTATAAGTCAATTGTTCTACCTAGCTTTCTGATAAACATGTAGTGTGGATTGTTTCAAGTTTATGACCAGTAAGAAGTAGATTGTATATGATTTTATAGTTAGTATTCTAACGATGCTATTAATTTTAAAATGATTGATTCCATGTCATTTTGCTTTGAAAAGTTTATTATTTAGTACACAGAGAAATGTGAAACCTTGAGTTGTTTTTTACGTTTTGGTCGGGTTGTTGTTTCTTTGACATAATCCCTGTGTCCATAAAGTTATATTAAAACGAAATCTGTTTTTAAACAGCTGGTAGTATGTTTGTGTTTGACTGTATATTAAAATGATAACTACACATTTCCATTCGCTTTTAACACAATTGTTCATTTTCTATATATAGACCTCGAGTGTAAAAAGATAGATTGCATTATAGACTTGATTATGAATTTATGATCTGAATTTTGCCACAAATTTAGTCTAGAATAATTATTGAAACAGATAAGCAATCAATTGAATAGATGAGAACTCAGTTTATAATTGATTGTTGAGAAGATAAATACATAATGATCATGGTATTTGGAAAATGTATGTTTTATATATTTCATGTTAATCTAGATGTTTGCATTTTCTATTGTGTATTTTATTCCATACTCTTAGTATGTAATAAAGATGTCAAGAAGACGATTGCCTTTGTAGCCATTATAAATCCAATGTTCATAAAATCTGAACAATTGAATTCTCCTCAAACACTTACTTAGTTTTTTCAATGTCACCCTTTTTTTGGGCAGATGTCCCTTTCATTTTTTTGCATACAGCCTTTTTGGTTGCTTCTTTGTCAACAAGAGCCTCGGTCAAAGTGTTTAAAGATTGAACTTGATAGTCAACATCACCTGAAAATGAAGTGAAATACAGTTGTGATCTTTTCTTGCAGTTAAGCTGATAAATATATGTAATAAGACATATTAAGCACCGTTATGAAAGTTCTTACAACTTAAAAAAATGTCTTACAGATTGGCAAAGCGACATGTATATGATTCACAGTAGACATATGATTTCAAAAGATACAGTTATGTACCAAGGGATCATAAACTCAAGCATGAACAATATTATGGGCACCACATAATAAGCTGGATCTGCTAACCAATATAGATAACCTGAGACCACCCTAGTTTTTTATGGGGTTTATGTTGCTCAGTTTTATTTTTTTCTATATTGAATTATAATGATTGCATTTTTGACTTTCCATCATTTTTTAAAATTTTTTTGCTCAGCTTTGTCAGTTTGTTCTCCAAATTTCAGTTTGATTGTTCCTTTCGACCCATTCACCATTCCTTACCTTCTAATCAATCAATGCTTAAAAAAACACGAGATCATCAATTTATGTGTTTTAACCAGCATAAACTGTTTTCTTTGAGAATCAAGTGTATTCACTAAAGTCTTACCGTTTGTTAACATGGACCAGGCTGATGTGATCGGTGGCACTATGTTTGTTGGTTTTGGAATCAAATTGACTAGTCTTGAAAGTTCCTTTCGATTTTGTTGAGTAGTATTTGATTTCCCTATTGTCAAGTAATCACCTATCTGGTGAACTGACATTCTGTCTGGTCCCTGGACTCTGGCCGTGATTTCATCTCCCTTCACCATATAAATCATTCTTTTCTCCGTTTTGTTTGTTTTCATTGACTGTAGTCTACTTCTCACAGGTCTAATGTCTTTTTAAAATAAATTGGAAAATAATCATGAACCCTTATGATAAGATTAATGAGAAACTTAAAATTGTGTTTTTGTTAGCCTATTAAAAGAAATCAATGACTTGAATTATTTAAGGCACAATGTAAAAATAAATGATACAGGGAGCTTCTAAATGTATAAAATTACCAAGTAAATATCAAACTAGTATATGTATAGGTTGTTACTAAACAGATAAAAGCCATTCCTGAAAATGTGAAGGTACAGTCATCACACAGGACATTTAGCTTTGTTATTCATAAAAAGTAATTGGAAAGACAATAATAAAACAAGTAATGATTCATATCCAAATCCATGAAGTGCTAAATATAATGATTGTTGAGGTGAAATATAGATTGTTGGTGATCATGGTATGCAAATGATCAAAAAAATATAATGTACATACTTGCAATCCTAAACTCCTCAAAAGAAGTAATCTCATTCCAATCCGTCGTCTCACTTGTACCTGTTGAGATAAGAGTATTATTCAGGATAATTGATAAGAAACCAATCAAAACACAATTACTTTAATCATAAAATGTAATCCTAGTTATCTTCGGTAATTAATTCCTGGTGGTTGCATTGATTTTGTGTACAAAATAACTACATAATATCAATGTCTTGATCATTATGATACCATTTTTAGAAACAAAGTGACATTTTTCTACCCCAATATCTCCTAAATAAAATTAGGTTGGGGGTTGAGCCAGTCAACTCCAAAGCCTGCCCTGTGAAGAAGTATATTAAAAACTTCAATTGTTTTCTTTATATAAAGTATAACAAAAACTATTATATGCTTCATATTTAAAAATATATCATTCTAAAATAGGAAAATAATTCATTTTGGTCAATTTCCCTACATTTTTGTCACCTTTTTCAATGTTCATAAATTTAACTATGGCGCCACATCTTGCCCATTCAATTTTGATGAAATTGGCAATATCTTGTTAAGTTGACCACATGTAACCAATTCAATATTTTTGTAAAGTAATCTCAACAGGAAAATGAAATTACTTTTCAATCAAACCTAAGTAGCATTTTTACAAATATCAATAACAAGTTTTAAGTTCAAAAAGAATGATAGTTTCAGTGTCATAAAACTTAATGAACTTATCCATCATGATTAAATGCATACATACCACTCTCATCTACATTTTCTGTTGACTTCTAAAAATAGAAGATAAAAATTATAATGATTGTATTAGGAAATCAATTGATTTATCAAAAATTATCTAATAATGATAAGTATAAATTGTCTACATAATCAATTGTAAAAATCCTCTTGACAAAGTAAGAAATTTTAATTGTTTTCTAAGATTTGTTTTTTAGACGACTCTGAAAGACAATGTACATTTTTTAATGGTTATTAATATATTGAAATTAATATAACAATATAACATATTCTCCCTGAACCAAGAATGTATATCTAACCTGATCTTCATCTTTTTTCTGGATCTTCGGTTGTCTAACATTATCTACTAATGAAAAGAAATAAAACCATGAACCATTCAAATGTAAATGTTGATATTTTTTTGCAATTTATATTAACATTAATTGTTTCATTTTCTGTTATAAAAGACTAAATAAAACAAATTTTATTTGCGTAAGTGTGTCCAGAGGTTACCATATTTCATATCAACATAAGGTGATCAGAGGTGACAAAATCTGAAATCTACAGAAGGTGACCAGAGGTAACCAAATCCCATGTATGAATAAGATGACCAGATGTAACCAAATCAATTATCTGCATAAGGTGACCAGAGGAAGCCAAATCCGAAATATGCAGAAGATGACCAGATAATTACAATATCTGCATAAACTTAGGTAACCAAAACTTATATTTAAATCAGGTGACCAACAGTAACAAAACCCTATTATATCTTTTAAAAGTGACCAGTAATTACCAGATACCATATCTTGGGAAGATGACCACATGTATCCAAAATTAAGAATTTTGTAAGGAAATTCTAAAAGAATATTGAATTTACTTTTCAATCAAACCTAAGTAGCCGTTTTAACAAAAAATGATAACCAGTTTTGTGTTAGAATAGAATGATAATTTCAGTATTATAAAAACTTCATGTACTTATGCATCATATATAATGATTATATATCACAAATTAATGCGTACATACCTCTTTCATCTACATTTTCTAGTGACTTCTGAAAAAAAAGATAACAAATACAATAATCGTATAAGGAAATCAATTGATTTATCAAAAATATCTACAGAGGATAAGTATCAATTATCAACTGAACATGCTCTTGGCAACGTTTGCAAATTAAATCATTCTCTAACGTTTGTTTTATAGATGATCATGGTAGACAAAGTTCATTCTGTTAATTGTAATAAAATATTAAAAGTAATATATAATACTTTTCTATATTCTTGTTGAACCCATGATGTATATCAAACCTGTTTTTCTTCTTTTTTCCCTCTCTTTGATTTTCTAGCATGTTCTAAAATGATAAAAAAAACACAACATGACCAGTTGTAGGTAAATATTGATGACAAGAAATAACCAAATTCGAATAATACATAGGGTGGCCAGAGATTTCCAATATATGCATGAAATGAACGGAGGTAAACAAATCCAATATCGTCGTAAGGTGACCAGAGGTAAGTAAACACATTCAATATCGTCGTAAGGTGACCAGAGGTAACCAAATTCTATATGTTGTTCAGATGACCAGAGGTTACCATATACCATATCTTGTAAAGTTGACAACATGTAGCCAATTTAAATTTTTATAAGGTTATCCCAAAAGAAAAATGTTTTTTTTAATTAAACCTTAAATGCCATTTCACAAAATTAGTAACAAGTTTAAAGTTTCAATAGAATAATAGTTGCAGTATTATATAGACACAAGGCGCTTATCCATCATAAATAAGAATTATATTTAACAAATTTAATGCATACATACCTCTTTTATCTACATTTTCTAGTGACTGAAAAAGAAGATAAAATATATAATGATTACATTAGGAAATCAATTGATTTATCCAAAATAATATAATGAGGGTAAGTATACATTGACTTAATAATCAACTTTAAATGCTCTTGTCAACGTTTGCAAGTTCAAGCATTTTCTAAGATTTGTTTTTTAAAAGATCAGGATAGACAATGTTCATTCTGTTGAGATCATTAATATTTTAAATGTAATATGCAATACAATTCTATAGTCTTGCTGAACCAGTAATGCATATCAAACCTGTTCTTGTTCTTTTTTCCTTCTCTTCGATTGTCTTACATTTCCTACAAATAATAACAAAAAATAACATGACTTATGTTTTGATGACCAGAGTTAATTAAATCTGAAATCTGCATAAGGTGACCAGAGGTCCTCAAATCCAATATCTGCATAAGGTGACCAGAGGTTCCCAAATCCAATATCTGCATAAGGTGACCAAAGGTCCCCAAATCATATATCTTCATAAGGTGAACAGATATATAACAAATCAAATTTCTTCATAGAGTCACCAGAGGTCCCCAAATCGGAAATCTGCATAAGAAGACCAGAGGTCCTCAAATCCAATATCTGCATAAGGTGACCAGGAACTCTAATCCAATATCTGCATAAGGTGAACAGAGGTCCCAAAATCCAATATCTGCATGAGGTGACCAGATTTATCCAAATCCAATATCTTCATAAGGTGACCAGAGGTCCCCAAATCCAATATTTGCATAAAGTGACCAGAGGTCCTAAAATCCAATATCTGCATAAGGTGACCAGAGGTCCCCAAATCCAATATCTGCATAAGGTGACAAGAGGTTACTAAATCTAGTATCTGCATTAGATGACCAATGGTAATCCGATTCCATATCATGTTAAGATCACTAGAGATAATCTGATACCATATATGATAAAATTGATCACTTATAGCTAATTAAATATTTTTCTAAGTTAATCCAAAGAGAAAAAGAAATTTTTCAATCAAAACTAAGTAGCGATTTTAAAGCTATCGATAACAAGTTGTAAGTTTAAATAGAAATTTAGTTTCAGTATCATATAGACGTAATGAACCTATCCATCATACTAAAAAATGATAACATAAATACAAACCACTTTCATCTTCATTTTCTGTTGACTTCTGAAAAAAGAAGTTAAATATTAAATAATCGTATAGGAAATCAACTGATTTATCCAAAGGATCTAATGAAGATACGTATAAATTGACTTCATTATCGGCTCTTGACAACGCAAGCAAATTCAATTATTTTTAAGATTTATTTCTAAATGATCATGGAAGATAATGTACATTTTTTCTGTTCAGTGTTACTTAGATAGTAAATATAATGTTATAGTATTCTATATTTTGAACCAATGATATATACAAACCTGTTCTTCTTTTTTCACCCTCTTCAAATTTCTCACATTTTCTACAAATGATAAAAAAAACTCAACATTTAAAAAAGAAATTGTGGTATTATTGCCAATGAGACAACTGTTCACAACAAACCAAATGACACAGAAATTAACAAGTATAAGTCACTGTACGGCCTTCAACAATGAGCAACGTCCATACCGCATAGTCAGTTATTAAAGGCCCGGAAATAAGAAATGTAAAATAATTCAAACGATCATACATCTAAGACTACATATGACCAATTTTTGTAAAATTTAATGACCAGTGAATAACAAAATCCGAAATCTGCAAAAGGTGTCAACTGTCAAGAGAATTCCAATAACAACAGAAAGTGACCAAAGATAACTAAATACAGTATCTGCTTCAGGTGATCAGTGTTAACACAATTCTACATCATTTTAAGGTTGCTTAGGGTACTCAAATACCATATCTGGGAAAGTTGACCATATGCAGCCAATTAAATATACCAAAAATAATTAATTTCAATCAAACCGAAGAAGCCATTTTACAGCTATCGATAACAAGTTTTAAGTTTAAAAAGAATAATAGTTGCAGCATTATATAAACATAGTGTATGTTTTCATCATATTAAAGGTTTGATACAATAAATTAAATGCATACATACCACTTTCATCTACATTTTCTGAGGACTTCTAAAAAAAAAAAGATAAACATCTGATATTTGTATTAGTAAATTCAATTTTATTTATCCATAATTATCTTATGAGGATAAGTAAAAATTGACAAAATTTTCAACTGTCAATGCTCTTGGCAATGTTTGCAAGGTCAATGATTTTCAAAGATTTGTTCTTTAAAAGATCAGGATAGACAATGATCATTCTGTTGAGTGCTATTAATATTTTAAATGTAATATGCAATACAATTCTATAGCCTTGCTGAACCAGTAATGCATATTAACCTTTTCTTGTTCTTTTTTTCCTCTCTTCGATTGTCTTACGTTTCCTACAAATGATAAAAAACATAACATGACTTATGTTTTGATGACCAAAGGTAACAAAATCCAATATTTACATAGGGTGACCAGAGGTCACCAAATCCAATATTTACATAAGGTGACCAGAGGTCACCAAATCCAGTATTTACATAAGATGAACTGAGGTCACCAAATCCAATATATGAATAAGGTGACTAGAAGTTACTCCATTCTAGCATATTAAGGCAAACAGAGGTTAACAAATCCAAACTGGTTAAGATGACCACATGTAATCAACTTAAATATTTGTGTAAGGTAATCAAGAAACAAAAAAAAATGATTAGTTCAATCGAGCCTAAGTGGCCATTTTACCAGAAACGATTGCAAGTTTCAAGTTCAAAAAGAATAATAGTTGCAGCATTATATAAATATAGTGTATGTTTCCATCATATTAAAAGTTTGATACAATGAATTAAATGCATACATACCACTCTCATCTACATTTTCTGAGGACTTCTGAAAAAAGAAGATAAGTATATGATAATTGTATTAGTAAATTCAATTTTATTTATCCAAAAGTATCTTATGAGGATCAGTTTTATTTTATTTAATTATCAACTGTCCGTGCTCTTGGCAATGTTTGAAAGATCAATGATTTTTCTTTAATTTGTTTGTAGATGATCATGAAAGATAATGATCATTGTGTAAAGTTTTATCGGTACATTAAACTTAATGTAATAATATTCTATATTCTTGTTGAATCCATAATGTATATCAAACCTGTTCTTCTTCTTTTTTGTCTTTCTTTGATTGTCTCAAATTTTCTACAAATGATATGAAAAACATCAACTAGTTGTATGCAAATGTTATTTACCAGAGATAACCAAATCTGAAAACTGCATAAGGTGACCAGAGGTAACCAAATCCAATATTAACATAAGGTGACCAGAGGTCACCAAATCCTATATTTCCATAAGATGACCAGAGGTAACCAAATCCAATATATGAATAAGGTGACTAGAAGTTACCCCATTGTAGCATATTAAGGCCAACAGAAGTTAACAAATCCCATTTCTGGCTAAGATGACCACATGATATCAACTTAAATATTTGTGTAAGGTAATCAAGAAACAAAAAAAAAATGATTAGTTCAATCGAGCCTAAGTGGCCATTTTACCAGAAACGATTGATAGTTTCAAGTTCAAAAAGAATAATAGTTGCAGCATTATATAAATATAGTGTATGTTTCCATCATATTAAAAGTTTGATACAATGAATTAAATGCATACATACCACTCTCATCTACATTTTCTGAGGACTTCTGAAAAAAGAAGATAATTATATGATAATTGTATTAGTAAATTCAATTTTATTTATCCAAAAGTATCTTATGAGGATCAGTTTTATTTTATTTAATTATCAACTGTCCGTGCTCTTGGCAATGTTTGAAAGATCAATGATTTTTCTTTAATTTGTTTGTAGATGATCATGAAAGATAATGATCATTGTGTAAAGTTTTATCGGTACATTAAACTTAATGTAATAATATTCTATATTCTTGTTGAATCCATAATGTATATCAAACCTGTTCTTCTTCTTTTTTGTCTTTCTTTGATTGTCTCAAATTTTCTACAAATGATATGAAAAACATCAACTAGTTGTATGCAAATGTTATTTACCAGAGATAACCAAATCTGAAAACTGCATAAGGTGACCAGAGGTAACCAAATCCAATATTAACATAAGGTGACCAGAGGTCACCAAATCCTATATTTCCATTAGATGACCAGAGGTAACCAAATCCAATATATGAATAAGGTGACTAGAAGTTACCCCATTCTAGCATATTAAGGCCAACAGAAGTTAACAAATCCCATTTCTGGCTAAGATGACCACATGATATCAACTTAAATATTTGTGTAAGGTAATCAAGAAACAAATAAAATGATTAGTTCAATCGAACCTAAGTGGCCATTTTACCAGAAACGATTGCAAGTTTCTAGTTCAAAAAGAATAATAGTTGCAGCATTATATAAATATAGTGTATGTTTCCATCATATTAAAAGTTTGATACAATGAATTAAATGCATACATACCACTCTCATCTACATTTTCTGAGGACTTCTGAAAAAAGAAGATAAGTATATGATAATTGTATTAGTAAATTCAATTTTATTTATCCAAAAGTATCTTATGAGGATCAGTTTTATTTTATTTAATTATCAACTGTCCGTGCTCTTGGCAATGTTTGAAAGATCAATGATTTTTCTTAAATTTGTTTGTAGATGATCATGAAAGATAATGATCATTGTGTAAAGTTTTATCGGTACATTAAACTTAATGTAATAATATTCTATATTCTTGTTGAATCCATAATGTATATCAAACCTGTTCTTCTTCTTTTTTGTCTTTCTTTGATTGTCTAAAACTTTCTACAAATGAAATGAAAAACATCAACTAGTTGTATGTAAATGTTAATTACCAGAGATAACCAAATCTAAAATATGCATATGGTGACCAGAGGTAACCGAATCCAATATTAACATAAGGTGACCAGAGGTCACCAAATCTGAAATCTGCATTAGGTGACCTGAGGTAACCAAATCCAGTATTTCCATAAGGTGACCAGAGATAACCAAATCTAATATATGAATAAGGTGACCAGAGGTAACCAAACCCGTTATTAACATAAGGTGACCAGAGGTCACCAAATCCAATATATGAATAAGGTGACCAGAAGTAACCCCGTTGTAGTAAGGCAAACAGAGGTTAACAGATCTAATTTCTGGTAAAAATGACCACATGTAATCAAAATTAAATATTTGTGTAAGGTAATCAAGAAACAAAAAATGATTTGTTCAACTAAGCCTAAGTGGCCATTACCAGAAACGATTGCAAGTTTTAAGTTCAAAAAGAATATTAGTTGCAGCATTATATGAACTTTGTGTACATATCTATCATATTAAAGGTTTAATACAATAAATTAAATGCATACAAACCACTCTCAAGGTGACCACAAGTATTCAGATGCAATATCGCGGTAAGGTGAGAAGAGGTAACAAAACCTTATATTTACATTATGTGACAAGAGCTAGCAAATCCAATAAATACATATGGTGACCAGAGGTAACCAAATTCAATATCAGCATAGGTGACTAGATGAACGTATTCCAATATTTACATAAGTTGACCTGAAGTAACCAAATCCGTTATCTTCATTAGGTGACAAGAGGTTACCAAATCAATTATCTGCATAAGGTACACAGAGGTAACCAAATCCTATATATGCGTCAGATGACCAGATGTAACCAAATCCTATATGCGGAAGGTGACCAGTGGTAACAATTCAAATATTTGCAGAAGGTAACCAGAGTTAACCGAATACTATTTTAGCATAAGTTGACCAGATGTAACAAAAGCCGCTATTTGCAAAAACTAACAGAGGTAATCAAATCCAATAATTGCATAGGTTGACCAGAGGTAATACAATACTTTTTTGCATAAGATAACCAGAGGTAACCAAATTCAATATTTGCATTAGTTGATCAGAGTTAACAAAATCTGAAATCTGCATAAGGTATTATCCATCATATTAATTGATTTAATCAACAAATTAAATGCATACATACCATTCTCATCTAAAATTTGTATGGACTTCTGAAAAAAGAAGATAAAAATATAATAATTGTATAAGGAAATCAATTGATTTATTCAGAAGTATCAAGTGAGAACAAGCATAAATTGACCCGATTTTTAATTGTGAATGTTCTTGACAATTTTTGCAAGTTCGTTCATTTTTTTTAGATGATCAGGAAGAAAATTCGATGGTAAAGTGTTTTCAATGAATAAACATTTAAAATGTTATGCAACAATCATCTGTAGTCTTGATGAACCAATTATAGATATCAAACCTGTTGTTATTCTTTTTTTCCTCTCTTTGAATGTCTAACTTTTTCTAAAAAAAAGAATAAACAAAATCCATGAAGAGAAACTAAAGGTTAATATTTTTAAAGTCAGTACAATTCAGAGTAAAAATATATACTCAAATTATTAAATTGCAATATAAAAAAAGGGTAACCTCTCTGTCAAGTATAGATTACCTTGAACAACACGAACCATTTAGTGCTTTTAAATAAGTGTGGGTGAAACATAAAAAAATTAATAGCTTAACGTGAACTTACTTCTAGCGAAAACTGTGTGAATTATATATATTCATAGGAATTAATTCAGAAGCATGCTTTATTATTTTTTCTGCATGCATTTATGTTTATCTATCATTGATTATAATGTAATGTAAAATTGATACAGGATAGAAATGAAGTTGTGATAAAGATACATGACTTCACAGCAGAGATAATAAATAAGGAAATTGTAATTATTGTGTCAAGCAGAACATTAAGTGAGAACTATAATATGTAAAAGTAGTGGCATATTGACTACACATTGATTATATTTGAAGCGTACAGATTTAGGATAAAGCACACCAAACTAAAAGTTCACAGTATTTTATACATTACCATACATCTGTATATAAGAAACAAAAAAATAAATAAAATCCAACAGCTTATACAATGCAAACAAGAAACTGACAAGTTATATAACAAAATCATTTGAAAAGACAATATTTAAAGAAGACTTAAAAAGTAGTGTGCACTAAGCAAACGGTACCTATGCCAGCGTCATTCTGTATTAATCAACTAAGTCATGAGGGGGAACATTAAACGTCTGCCTTTACCATGTGAGTCTGAATGTGAGAACAACAAATCTTTGGATTTCAAAGATATCTTAGAATAAGTTCATTTAGTGCAATCTATAAAAAATGTAAGAAATATCAACATGAATATATCTACAAAAATTAATAAGTCGACTTCTGTTATGAAATTAAACGCAACTTATAGAATTATTGAACAAATGGAAGAACAATGATCATTCTACAATTTTGTTATATCGCATTTTGTCCTTGCAAATTAAATTCTATTTCATTGTATTACTTTAAAAAAAAATTAGAAATGGTAGAATTTTCTATTGCACTCACCAGGTGGAAAAATTGAGCACAGACTGCATAGTCCTGGAGTCATACACTTTTTGTGGAAATTCCTTTTACAGCATGAACATGCTCTCTGCAATATTTAATAGACATGTTCAAATTCTATGAATTAATGTAGTTATTGCGAAAAATGTTAATATTAGTGAAAGTTCATCAAATTGATATAAAAAAAAACATTTATATTCTAACCTACAATATCACAAGGTTCTGTTAAAAAAATTTCAATTTTAACCATAAAACGTATTTAAATAAGCAATAAAAATAATAAAGCACCCTGTTAAGTTGAACATCAACGATCTATAAATGTATATTTACCATGTTAGTTGGTTCTTTAGCACACAAGAAGCATGTCATAACAGCACCTTTTGTTTCTATAGTAAAATAGAAATAGATGTTAACATGAATTAGGAACAACATTCTTCTGCTCCAAATCACAAATTGCAGCAGCTGATAATAAGTCATAAAATTGAAAATGTTTACACTTGGTTGATGTTATTTTTTACGTTCCTTCCCGTAGATGGTAATTATGATGGTGATGCTCATTGATGACAGCGGCAGTTTATATGAAGAAGACAATCGCATAAATATATCGGCTAACTTAATTAGACCTACAAAAACTAGTTGATTTTTAAACATCTACTTTCCATGTTTATATTTCCATTAATAAGATCGTAATATTTGACAACAACACATTATCATACATATATAAGACATGGAATATCATAAAAATAAGTACAGTTTGAGCTGTAGAAAAAAGAGAGAAATTATTACAGAAAACAACCGGAATTATTAAGCTATTATTTCCAAACTACATTTTTAAGTATAACATATCAATAATGAATAATTCATTAAAGAAACATAAATACATCATTTATAGCGTAAAGAAATTTGGTCAGAAACAATAGATAAAATTAAAAACAAATCATCAATGAATTGAGATAAACATCAAAGAAAAGGATTTCAAACACATTATTGAACATGTTAAAATTCATATTCCCTTTTTATTAGATTCACTTATTGTCTAGCAAGAAGATATTAAGTATTTACATAACATACGGTACTATTAGTAAATGCTTTTATTCTATTGATTACTTACGCACAGCTTGAACAATTTCACTGCCAATTGTGAATCTTTCAGCTTGGACGTTTAATTCCAAAGATGTATCTGTCTTACTTAGGTATCGGTCGAGGAACTAAAAAAATAATTCTTAAATGTACACATTGTTTTGTAAATTTTCTATGGCCTGTTCAAAACTGAATGTTTAAATTACTGAAATGATTCATGTAGGCCTAATAATGATATAAAAATGTTTTTTTTACAAAAGGTAAATTAAAAGTACCACATATTTATTTGTTTTTCTTTCCATTACATTTAAAGTAATTTATGCAAATCATAGATTTGGTTAAATTTCACACAACCTTTGTGCTTTGCGGATTTTACTGAAATAGTTTACATGATATATATTCCAAGTTATTGTTTACACATATTTAAATAAACAGGTTTGGGAAACAAGTTGTTTACAACTTACAACAATATTTTGTTCATCTTGTTTGTACGATTCTGCCTTTTTTTAAAAATCAACAAGGGTGTCTTTTACGTGCAAAATTGTGATCTTTATTAGTATATATATATCATTGATTTAAGATTCAAGCTTCAATTGAACTTTCATTTATTAACTCTCAATTCATACATGCAAAGCCCAATGTTTTATGTACCTTCAAACAATAAACACCACATGAGCTAAAATCATTTTGCAGAGGATACCCAACTGCTGTACAGATTGTCCATGTACCAAGATCTCTGCTTTTAGTGAAGTAGCTACATAATATAATATGAAAAGAAAAATGTGTTACTTAAAACTGATATATATTAAAAAGTCAAGCTGGCTATAGCCATAATGCCAGCCATTGCCTTACCCCGGACTGTATCATAGAACTTACATGTCTAGCTAGATGTATGATACTTAAGGAGATATTGCACATTCCATAGAAAACCGTTCATTTGACCAACCTTTCTAATGTAGGAAAAAAAATAATTGCAGCTGTTTTAAAGTTGATATCAACAACGTTTGGAAAAAAATAACTGGTCTTCAGTTCTTACTGCTATATTCAATTTAAAAAGCTGTGCAATCAATAATACAATTATTGTTCAATTCCAGTATCAACCAGAAGTAATTTTCATTTTAGATTAACAAATTATATTTCTCTAGATTTGTCCTTATAACTTGTGACTCACTTCTGAAAATTTCAGAATTATAAACTTTTTTTTAAGTATATATATCAAACACAGAAATAAAAATTTACTTTGAAACAAATCACATGCATTAAAGCAATAAACGACTGTCATGTAACTACAGTTTCAATCTTACTTGAAATTCTTTTCATATGTTCTCAATTTCTTTGATATTTTGAGCGGGTCCATAATTGTCACAATATGGTGTTGGACATCCATAACCTGAAACAAAAATTATTCTCTCTTTTTAATTTCACATACTTAAATCTGTTTACATTAACATTTATAAAAAAATAAATATTTTGCTTAATTACTGGTTGTTGCTCAATGTTCAGAAGCAAATATTTGATAATATTCTATACGAAGAAGCCAATATTTTATATCTGATATTTCTTTTCTAACTATCATTTCCATGCAGTATAAATGCTTTCATATAAATGAGTGCAAAATCAGTTGGAAAAATGTATGAGAAAATATATATATTAAGTCAAGTAAGTTGAATTAAGTTATAGAAGAACAACTAACATGACTAAAAACTCAACGAAATGTCTGAAATGCTGTTCTTGCAACTCATTTTTCTATTAACTTATAACCTCATGGAAAAATGCCTGAATAGTGTAATTAATAACATTAATTGAGCAAATAAACCTACCACAGCAACCCAATGACACTTCCCGTCATTAATGCACCCAATGACAGTGTCATACTGTTGTATATCGTCCTAAAAAAGTATTGTAAAATGTTATTATTAACTTGCAAGCTGATAAAAAAAAGACCGATGAAACATTAAATACATTTTATAAACAGCAATATAATACCATACACAATACAATATTTAGCATATTGTTTTATTATTTATCATTTGATAATTTACATATATCATCAATATGTTAGAATGTCTTATTATTTTGTTAAAACGTGAAAGGCGAATTGGTAATATCCAGCTTTTAGCTGTAAAAAGAGTAATCTATGTGTAAATCAAAAGCACTTATATAAAAAGAGTTTATAACAGATGATTATATAGTATTATACCTTTTTAAACCAAGTTACGTTTTTCCTCCCTTCAAAAATTGAGGTCAGAATCAGACAATCTGCACGGGACACTTTCTGGAAAACGGAAATATGTATAAAACAAATTGTGTGACAAGAACATTGGATTTATTTAACTGTTTCTATTACATCGGAACGTGAAATTATATAAGGTTTTTCTTGCCTGGTTCAATACTTCTTCAAAGTCAGTATGAAATTACCCATCAAAAATACGAGGAATAAAAGTAAATTCATTTTTCTCATAGTTAATGAGTTGTGCATATATTTCCTTAACGACAATTCCAAATGGGATATAACTCTTATAAGGAATATCCAGATAGCTTCGGTTAAATAATATATGACATCATAAGGGTGTAACGAGTAATTGAGTAAACTAATAAAATATCGCAGTAGATGTATCTACACGCAAAATCGAGATTGGGGAGGTAACTCTATTAATGAGAGTAAAAAGTCTTCGTTAGGGCAATGGCGAAAGCTCATAAGCTGTACGATATCATATAAAACAAAGTCAAAACTACATCTGTTAAAAATAATAGCTCAACTTAAAAAAGGCGCACAAAATATAAATAATAATATCAAAATAATGATAATAATTATAATCCTTAAGTAAAGCTAAAAGTCTTTCAACCGAAAGGTAGAAAGACCTTAAATTACATAAAAGGGAAAAAATAAAAGATGATTTAGTGGAACAAATATTTCATTCTCTGCAAAAAGGGCGGTGGGTGCGAAAGTAACTTTTACAATACACAGTTTACTTTGGTGAAATTGGAAATGAATAAAAAATGCATAAAACAAGTTTAGAATGATAATTCAGATACCCTTAATGGAGGAATGGATCATGTAGAAAAAGCGAAATTAAATGAATTGATCCTGGAAATTACAAAAAAATAAGCATGCTTTAAAGTAGCCGATGAAAAAATCAGTCAACTCTAAAATAAATGCACTGAAATATGATAAAACGGTTATTAAATAAATACTTTTAATTCGTTTACCTGTACACACTGATCCGTCCGTTTTTGCAGTACACTACAATAAAGATTAATTATCTGAAAAAAAAAAGAAAATGATAAGGTCAGATCTTTTCAATCAGTATGATACAAAGGAAACCATCAACAAAACTAAATATCACAAAGGTGAAGACATACAAGTTTGATCAAGATAACACATAACATAAAGTACCATGATTATGTTATCAGTTTAAGACAGATTATTTAAAAAAATCCTTGTACATTTTATAGAACTAAATAAAATCAAAAGACCTCCAAAAACCTGAATGACTTACCTGCAATTTTGTTGTTGTTAAATCTTTCATCAATGATTATTTCTGCTTTTCAATGGAAATAAAGTAGTGCTTACATTGTCAAATTGGTATTTAATTTTTTTTGGTATCTGTCATATTTTCTTCAATGGCAAAACAATGCATTTTAAACCAATATGCTATTAAGCCATAGTGACTATATTTCTTGGCATAAAAGAAAACACAATTACTTACAGGCCAGTAACTCTTTAAGGGGTCACAAAAATTAGCAATTTAGTGGCATCAACCAAACAATGGGTAGTTTTATTTGTCTGAAAATGCTTTACCTAATGAACCTTTTCACCAATGTCAGATTTAATTTTATTTTAGATACCCTAAGGATGATTAAGCTTACGTTTGGTTGGAATTGGTTCAGTAGTTTCAGAGGAGAGTTCAAGATCTTTGAAATTGTTTAACCTTTATTACATAAATTAAACCATTAGTACTGTTACCTGATCATTCAACTCCTCCTCAATTTTTAAGCTCATTAAATCCGATACGTAAAGAACATTCCCATACACCGTACCAAACTTTTCGTCAGCATTTCCTTTCCATGAATCCCATATAGTTTCCAAAAATGCTTTAAATAAATAATCATTTTTAACAATCAAAGTAATACAAATAATAATACCTGAAACAAATGACATCAATTAAGTTTCTTTTAAATTTTGGAATTCTACGAAAACAGAAGTGCAATCTTGTTTTGCACAGAAGATCACAATATTTGGGTAGGGTGACCAGAAGTAGCCGCAGTCAATATTATATAAACAATAGGTGCCATATTATTTAAGTCTATAACCGTTTAAATTGCAAAGAGGTAATAAAGGTTTACAAGTTACAGAATGACATGAGGTAATTAATATCAACATATGTGTAGGGTTAGCAGAGTAAGTCAGAAACTATGTAGGGTGACCAGAGGTCAACCAAAGTCACTATCAGTGAAGGGCGACAAGATGTAACCAGTCAATATATTTGTAAGGTAAGCGAATGTTAACTAAGACAATATGCGTAGGGTGACCAGATTTAATCAAAGAATATATATCTGTTTAAATGTCGCAGAGCTAGCCAAAGTTCATAACTTTGTCACCTGACTAAAGTTAACTAAAATCAATATATGTGTAAGATGACCACAGGTTACAAAAGTCAATTACTATGTAAGGTGACCAAATGTAGAGAAAGTCAATAAATGGGAAGGGGTGACCAGAGGGCACCAGTCCATAAATCTGTAGGGGACAAATGTTACCCAAATCTGTATATGTGTGAACTGCCTACAAGTTAACAAGTTTGATAATTGTGCGGGGGTAACTCAGGTCAATAACTAAGTAGGAAAAGAGGTTATAAAGTCATTTTATGTGAAGGGTGACCAGAGGCAACCTAAGTCAATATATGAGTAGGGTGACCAGAGATAACCGAAGTTAATATCTGTGTTAGGTGACCAGAGGTAACCAAAGTTAATATATGTGAAAGGTGACCAGAGGGCACCAGTCAATAAATCTCTATGGCGACCAGATGTAATCTTTAATCAAAATCTATATCTATGTAAACTGCCGACAGCAAACGAAAGACAATATCTGTCACGTGTATGGCGTTAGGATTGATTGATTGGTTGTTGGTTGCTTAACGTCCAGTGGCAAATATTTCATGCATATTCAGGACGAGAACAAGTTCACAATAAATACAATAGGTAGGTTCTGTAATAGATTAAGGGGTTAAGGTCGGAGAAATTTAGACTGCCACGGGAAATGAGGGTATATTGGATAGGGACAGAAATTAAGCCTTCCAACAGGTCACCTACGGACCCCTCAAAGAGTTGTTGCAAGGGTTCTTAACGTGCAAAGAGCGTGGCACTCTCTTTACACGAGGCATCGGATTTAACGTCCCCATTCTGACCGGACGTGGCTGCAAATTTGTACATCCCGCACAGCCAAACGGACGCCCCACTTTAGCACGGGTTTTACTGCCGGTCGGAGGAAGACCAATGGTGACCATACTTCTATTCCCCAGTCACCCTTGGGGGGTATGGCGTTAGGAAGTAACCAGTTTCAATATATATGAAGGGTGACCAAAGGTAACCATTGTTTAATCTGGAAGATATGATTTTAGTATGCACACAATTACTGCACAGAGTTTGGTAATTTTAATTTTCCAACGAAAGAAAGAGGTAGGGCCAATATGCCGAGGATTTTTTTTCACAGAAGGGCCAATTTCAAAAAGTGCCGACAGAATAAAATTTACTATAAAAACAAAAAATAAAAATGCTTTTTCATCAATATCTCGATTTACATATAGTATGATATGTGTGATCAATAGTTAATTTAACCCTAAAAAATGATGAAAATCCAATATCCGGATTTTCGGGTGTTTTTATGTGGAAAAAACAGGGAATCCCCCAAGAAGGACATTTCAAACCAAAAAAAAGTTATGCTTTTTATGACTGTTGTTATTCATACTACTTTTTACTTCAAAAATGAAATTGGTTTAGTGTGTCCTTATTACATAAAAAACAACTTTTTAAAGAAAAAATTGTAACATCGATAAATTGTACCGATATACCTTCTAAATAAGAGTCATAATGATCAGAATCGCCGTAGTTCCACCATTAGAGCACAGAACTACTAATAAATGATGAATTTGAAGAAAGGGTTCGAACCTCGCTCAGAACTTTTGCATTTTTTTGTGTTGTTATATTAAATTTTAAAGTTTCTATCATATTTTTTCGGATGTTTGCTTGACTCATAGAGTCATTCTGGTTCATTTTGACTATTCAGTTAGTTTACTAGTATATAATTTTACGTGTATCAAAGAAAAATAATGTATCGCTTATTGTGTGCAATCCTATGACTGTCCATACTCTTGAATTACTTTCTATTCATGTGTTTACATTATTACGTATATCCAAGGGACAACTGCCGTCAAATTGATGTAGGTGCCTGTACATAACCAATAACACGAGAATTAATTCTATAGAAATTAAGCCTACATGTTGCGGGTGTAATATACACATAACTTAAAATAAGGCCATTGTATACAAGTTTCATAACAACAAAAAACAATTCGTCGAAACCTTTTTTGAACATGGTATTATATGTAACAAATGCAGTCAACAACAATTTTGTCGCCAAATCACAAACTGTAAAGATACTAGTACTGAAATTTTTACCACCTTCTATACACGGGTACCTAACTCATCAGAAAAATAAAACAACATAACAGAACAAATCAATTACACTACAAATCGCGATTGTAGGTAAAACATCAAGAAGCTGTTGCATCTGTATCACAACGAAGGGCCGATTTGTTAAAATTACAGAAAAGGCAATAAAACATGAAGTAGTAACACAGGGTGATCTATGACCAACTGATGTAAGATGTTCTCCGGTTTTAATTTTATATACATGTACATGTATTTTCTTGTCTTATCTTATAGACGATAAAACCTTAAAAGACCAGGACAAATACAGATATACATATTCAGAATGAGAAAATCACGATTTGAATTAGTTCGATATTATTTGGCTCCTTGACAATTTACATGGTATGGCACCTCGCATTAAAGGATGTTAATAATAAAATAAAATCAATATTAAAAAAACAATAGCCTTGGCCTTGTTTTTGTAGGAATACCTGTTCAAGGTATAAAAATAAATAATGTGACGTATTTTCTTGTACTATAATTAGCATCTATCGGGCTATTTAAAACATTATTTACCTATCTTATCGAATGAAACAAATCTCCGGCAAATTGGCCCTCCCTCTTTATTTTTTTGGATTCCTAGCAGTTTTATGTTATGGTTTACGTCTACTTTGAAATTTAATTGTAATTTTATTTATTTCATATCGGTTCAGAATAAGATTCTCTTATTGGATAAAAAGGGGTAATATGACATTCATTATTTTTCAGTAATAAATTCCATCCTTCATTAACAGAACAAAACGGACCAGAAAACTGGTCGTTAACGAACTTTTACATGAGAATGACAGGTGGGCGTGGTTTCCGTCTGATAATGACCGTTGAGGCGTGGTTTCTCTGTAAATGACCGTTGGGGCGTGGTTTCTCTGTTAATGACCAATGGGGCGTGGTTTCTCTGTTTAGAGAGATTTATCCATTTTTAAAACATGTTCCTTTCTTTAATATTATATTTAATTTGTTGAATTGTTTATTATTTGTTTTTGTTAATAATAAAATTAAAGAGAACTTGATTAAGTATTTATATACTGAAAAATTGCACTAAAATGAATGGGAGTATTCCTACAACTGGTCTTCACTCTCCATGCCATACAAATCGTACGTCAACTACTCGAGTTCGCTTTAGGCATTTTGAATTAATGAAAATTTTCAAAACATAGTTCCTCAATGAAATAAACATAATAGTTCTTCAAAAAAAACTGGTCATTATCGTGATACATGGACTGCCCGTAGGACAGTAATATTGACTATGACAGCGATAATGACCTCGCCTTCGCGTCATTATCGCTACCTTAGTCAATACCACTGTCCTGTGAGCGGTCCAACTATTATATAAATATTAAATCCTGAATTAAAAGGATTAAGTCGATTAGAATGTGACCTTACTCTTAATACTGTTCAATGGCATTTTAATATAATTACACCAACTATATATAGCTAACAACATTACAAATGTCTACATTCATAAATACATATAAATATGTTACTGGTTGAGTTGACAAATAAAACTGTAAGATCAGCATAACATCAGAAGAAACCTTCTCAAGCTCAAGAGATAAATCATTGAAAAATATTATTAAAAGTAAATGTCATAATATGGAACCTTCTGGTACTCTTGATCAAACCTCTAAAGTAGGTAAATCCCTAACTTTGTATTGTGTAACTTTTGTCTTCCGTTTGTAAGGTGGCACTAGATCAATAGCATTTCCTTTCTTCTTGAAGATAAATATAGAATTGATTTAAAAACTTACCTTTACTTCTTTCTTTTATGACAGCTAACATTATCCTTAAAAAATATTAAAATACAGTTCATCCATTGCTTAAGTTATCTTAACATTATCAATATCATCAACTACATGTATAAGATTAGGCCGTGTTCACATTGACTTAAACTCGGTGTTGTGTTAGTGTAACTCACACATTAACTAAACATAATTGCGTTCCCATTGATAAAACTTAATGTTTACATGAAGATTTAATCAAGACTCATCTATCATCTTTGCCGAACACATAGTTCATTTGAAAAGGTCTTCCTGAATCGATCAGACGTACACACTGACAGAAATATTTGCCACTGGTCTTTATACTCAAACAGCGATTCACTTATAAATGCATTACTGAAAAAGGGGGAGGTTAATTGTTTGTTTGTGTAGTATCTGAGACTCGTTAAAATACTATTAGAAATAATAAAAAAAACATTCTCCCCTCCCTTTGACAAATACTCCTTGGATAAAAAAAAAATAGCACTTGAAACAAACAGAAGAGATAGAAATGTAGTGATCCTTAACATAGCAATTCTTTTTCTTCGTCTGTAAGCACGCTAATGGCAATCCTACGTTTTTAATGCGTAATCGAGACATCTTTAAACTACTGCAAATCATCCAAAATGACTTTCTTAAAGGAGCAACCACTTTACTTCAAAAAAAAGGGAGAGGGGTTCTGAGTTCTCGCGCGAAAGTTTATAATTAGTTTTTTTTCGATGGTACCTATTTATATAATATTTAACATGTTTAACACTATAATGTATGGGAAAACGTTTGATTCAGAATATTTGTTCATTCTATAATTGTCTGAATGTCTCAAATTTTTTTTTAAATCTAATTGTGGAAAAATCCACCCCCCCCCCCTTTTTTAAAGTCAAGTGGTCGTTTATTAACTGTAGAAAAGTTGTTCGAAAATTTGAATTCGGTTCTACGTAATGAACATTTAAATGACATATAGTTTACGAGTGTGAACAAATCTTATGTACATGTAACTAAACAAGGTGTATAGATGTGAACAAATTTAATGTGAAACTAGCGTACATTACATTAAACCAAATGTAAACATGTTTACTGTACACGACGTTTGGTGTGAACACGGCCTTAGTGAATTATTTATTTTGTGAATTTTTTTTATATCTACTTAGAGTCTTAGGGTGAATATATCCTTCTAGTCTGTGATTCGAACATTTAAAAAAAACGTGTCATCACAAATGACAAATCATGCAAAATGGATGAAACAATTATTTTGCTTTGAATGACTTAATTAAACTTAATATGCTTAAGTTTGTGTTATTCATTGTATTCAATTGCTCGGTATGTTAATTTTACTGACAGATAATACAGACGGTGACAGGCTCTATGGTGTATTGCTAAATAGAAAGATGAATTGTCTATTTTAAGCTTTCTATTTTTAGACATGTGTTAGAACTACAATATTACTACACACAAGAGCACTATTTATAGGGTGACCAGTGGGCACCGTTCAGCGTAACTATTATCCTTGTGCCCATGGCATAAGCCTTGATTGCTATCATTTTGCGCTTTAACGAGCGGCGAATCCAAGTCAAAAAGCGCCTTTTAGACACCGATTGCCGTAAACGGAAGCAACTATGATTTTTTTCCGGATAGGTGGAAAATTTGTACTTTTTCATGACGAATCCGTATTGAGTAATTTTATTAAAAAATCTGGGTAAAATACGGACAATCCGTACAAGTACACACCTCTGCAGTGAACCGCCATTGGATTACTTCAAAAGACACTTTAAAAGATTCTAAAAAAACTGAACCTTGGACAAAAAGGGTGTGAAAAATTATCCATTAGGCACATTATTGAATTCGAGAATATGTTACTTAATAATATCCAAACATCGTTTTATTACCATGATTACGAAACTAAATGTACAATAAACTCATCATAGGTACCAGGATTGAAATTTGTTTTTGCGCCAGACGCGCGTTTCGTCTACAAAAAAATTCAACCGCTAAATGGAGAAAACAGCTACCTAAAATTTCGTGATGATACGGGTAATGAAGTAAATAAATTTTCAATGATAAACGTAACTGGAAATATTGATATCCGTAACTAATTTTATTTCTAAAAAGTTCAATCATGTTTGAAATGAAATAAATGTCTCCGATTATTAAGGGTTTAATAAATACGAATTAGAATTGTTATGTGAAAATATTGATCAGGCTACCTATTCGGTATGTATCTATAGTCAGCAGCATGCATAGTGAGCTAGAAGACGGAGATTTGGTAGCCTATTTACAGATGAATTATAAGTAAAATTGAGAACGAACAGTCCTTTCGCAAATTAAAAAAAAAATCTAAATCTCAAACACATCAAACGAATTGATAACAACTGTCATATTTTTGATTTGGTACAAGCATTTCCTTATGTAGAAAATGGAATTAAACCTGGTTGTATAGCTAGCTAAGCCCCTCACAATATATTAAAAACAATTTTTGAGGTAAAGCAAACAGAAAAACAAAAATGGCATATAGATAAAGTTAATGAACGAAAATAAAAGTAAGTGTACAACTGACCATAGCACGATAACACAAAAGTACCCAAACCTCCACCATATCCTAGGACAGTGGTTCCACATAACAATACAAGAACTGTTCAAAGTGATGAACAACAACACACAACCACTCAACAGCAGCTTGAGAAGGCTTTGATAGCTTGTACAATTGTTCTCTAAAGGTCATTCCACCAATAAAGGTCTATTTCGATATGAAAATATTAAAATTCGGTTTAAAATGTCATTTTAAGCATCAAATGGTAGCGTATTTGGTCAAAAACAAGGACCTCAAATCAAAAGACCGTAGGTCTTAATTATATATGTTTAATGAGTTATATAACCATACATGTTATTTTGAATATAAGGGAGGGAGAAACTCCAATTTAATGTTAGTGTACCCTTTTAACCAAATTGTAAGTGTTAAGACATGTCGCAATTTTTCAGGGACCCGTAAGTGGGAGTCCTTCTTCCTGTCCATGGCGGCGCCCATGCTTTTTAAAATTTAAGAAAATATAACAAAATCTAGGTATCTAGGATAAAAAAAGATTCAGTCAAAATCGATTTACACGTGAACAATACGAAAAGATATGTACCTAGTAAATAAATTCAAGAAAAACCAAAAACGTGGTCTACCTTGCTTTTTTTCGTGTTTGAACTGGTGCTCCAATAGGTATATGTTTTCCTGTCCTGAAGTAAAGCTACATTTCTGATGGTAAATAGCATTTGCCGAAGGAAAGCATTGTCATTTACGGTACACATCGGCACAAACAAAGGGATCATTTCTCCACCGACTCAGTTTAGTGGCAATCACTAGAAGATTCCATTGGTTGTAAACTGGATAACAGGTGAACGAGGATAAGAAAGGTTAATAAAAGAGGAACGAAAGATACAAAGGGACAGTTAAACTCATAAAATCGAAAATAAACTGACAACGACATGGAAAAAAAAGAAAAAGACAAACAGAAAAATAACAGTACACAAAACACAACATAGAAAATTAAAGACTAAGCAACACGAACCCCACCAAAAACTGGGGGTTATCTTAATAAGTTTTTAGCACTAGCTGGTGTGGTGGACTCCTAGGAATGTACACTGGTATTGTCTCTAATGAACTTGCCAGAACCTTGCATTGCATAAAAATGTCGACATAAAACTGTTATTCACCAGCTTTAATTCTCGATAACATATTCGGCTTGCATTACTGATGAAGTCTCAGCTGTTTTATAGAGAATCTCTGAAAGTGGAGATATAATGTATAGTGTAATAAAAGCGAATAAATGCAAATTGAAAAGACAAAAAAATTAATATAAATTTAAAAATATTAAATATTAAATGCTTTTCTCACTTGATCTTTGGATACATGGAAGAGCAACAAGTATATGCAATACACATTTTTAGGGGATGATAGCAAACGTACGCATCCATGTTGGTTTAGGACATTAAACTTTCCATTGAGGCAACACATAATTTCAATATATGGAATAAAATTATTGGGGATCTTGTTTTAAAAGGTCATAACCATGGAAACATAAAGTTTAAATTTCAGATGAAATCATATTTATTTTATGCAAGAGGCTTGGTAAGTGAGTTCCAAATGACTCCAATTATTGAATATTTCTTTGGATGGTAGGAACACACAGGGAGGTTTGCGTTTTTTTTTTAAATCATCAAAAGTTTTCTATAGTGAATTCAGAGTAACATCTAGGTCTCCTGTTAGATCTTTAGTTTTGTAGTAAAAGACTTTGCAGAAGCATTACACTCTGGGTTTTTTTCTCTGAATTTCAAAATGGTCCAATTCTGTTTTCAAGTTGATAACCTCTTTCTTTACATGAGCAAATGAATTCTTCACTTTTGATATTTTACCCATTTTCTTCTAGGAATGTATTGTATGAATAATATCTGGATATTGATTGAGAAAAACTAAGCCCATTTATAAGTAATAAACGGATAAACCGGATTTTTTTCTTAAAACAAGTGTTGCAACTGAATTGTGTCTTCCTTGAATAAAAAGTTAAATAATTAAAAGAAATGCTGCATTGCTAAGAACAAAATCTCTGATTAATTCGGACTCCTCTCCCTGGGTTTTGTTTAGGTTGACAAGCTATTTACAGAGGTAATTGTCTGTGTTTCCTCCTCATCCTTACTCTCTTTATTGGAAGTGTCTTTCGCTAACTTTGACTTCAATCCAGCCATTTCAAATGAATCTGCAAAACCAAATATCAGTTACAATTTTGTAAATACTTTTTAAGGCTATATCTAGTAATATTATCTAGAAAAAATTACCGATTTAAAGTAACATTTAATACAATTTTCAATAAAAGGGTAAAATTAACTGTACAATGTAGTAAAATTATCAATAAGACAGCGGCAGGTTTTGCTGTTAAATTTAAAAAATTTATCTATAAAATATGGTCGATTTTAGGTTACATCTGACACACATATCAAAATAACTCTATGCGAGCAACACCAAGATGTTTTTCTGCCCTTAAAACTGAACTCCTATACCCCACCCGGTTAAGTGCAGAGGTACTGTAACCGCATATACCAGCTCTGAATTTTGATGTAGCACAAAATACTCAACAGAAAAACCTGTGCCACTTTTTGAAACAAAAGTATTACATATCCTAAGTGTCATCCTGGAATAACTCCCAGAGTAAAATTTTTACCATCGTTTACAATTCTTTCAATTTTTTTCACTCAAGAAATATTTTCATGCAGTTTTTAAAGAATAATTTGTGTATAATCATCTGGCTGTAGTTCCAACAAAGCACGTGCAAATTGACAGTTTGTAACAGGTTTGAAGTTTTTCCAAAATTTTCTTTTGTATATTATTTGTAACTTATTCCTGAATAGCTCTTTACATTTAGTTACATTTCCTGTACCATGAACTGTTTTCGTGGAATTACAGTCCTCAAATGGGAAAGTACTTCCAGCCAATATTACACCCAACAAAAGATCATATTCCACTAAATGGCATCCAATGCCATGTACATTAAGGCCACATGACCCCACAGAATAGAGTTTGCTAAACTGCTCAAAAACTTATCAACCAAGACTCTAGACCGTTGCAGCTCATTTTGAGTAATGCTGCCCCTAGCAGAATATATACACCTTCAGAGATAAGTGCAAAACGTGTCAAATAGTTTTGCTTAAAAATGCCGTCAAGGCAGGGAACAGCATAATACAGAAGCCACGCTTGAAGTTCAGTTGCCTTGAAATGTGAATAATTTTTTTCCAAATCTCGGGGCAACCTTTCCATGCTCTCTCGTGACTAAATTCAGTTCAAGCGTTAAGATATTTCCTTTATTTTATCCCCTACAAGGTAATCTTTCTTACTTTCTGTCGCAGAAAACCATTTGTTCCTTCATGTTTTCGTTACACCTAATAGGACACCATACATATAATCCTTCTTTTGTGTGTCGGTGTTAGGTCTTTAAATTGTTCCAAAGAATCAAACCCTAACAACTGCATGGCTTGAAGAATGACAAAGCCTCGTGTTACAAATCTCGTTAGCTGCACCTGTCATCTATACAAAATTAAAAAAATTAAAATATTTGAAATATAAAAACGAAATTTTAAATAAAATTTATACAATATACATTAACTTCATTTGTGTGGCGAGTTGTCTCATTAGTCAGACAGAAGTTAACCCGTATACCCTTGCAACTACTGAATAATTTTAATAGTTTAATATGCCTCTGTTCTGTAAACAGGAAGTTGCTGAGTGATGAATCTGAAAACGCATCACACGGTAAAGCGAACTTGTACAAACACTGACAAGAGAAATTTCGGAATTCCTTATGATAAATATCTTAAGAAAAATGCGACAAAAAATATTTATGGGACGGATGGATGTCAAAGTAACCTGGTGTTGTCGGTCCCGCCCATAAATCAGGAAATATAGGTGCTAACACGAGCTGTTCAAACTTCACATCAAAACGAATGTCTTCATCGGAATGTGCTAGTCCTTGATT